ACAAAAGCTCGTCTGTTAACTGTTTAAACTCTCATTCCTTTTTCTCCCTACATAACCTCATCCAGTAAGGAGCTCGCTCGGCTGTATGTCCTCCTATGTTCTTCATACAAATCGATCGTCTTTTACCAGCCAAACCCAAATCCTTCAAAAAGCTGCACACAGAACAACCAACAACACCTCTTGCACCGACCTCAACTGCGTACAATAAACAGCTTAACCCACGTTGTTCTATCTCACTAACAAGCTCTTCATACTTGGCTGTGTTTTTATATCGTGAAAAAACAGTCATAAATTTTACGTCGTTCTATTGATAAAATGTTATGGGGGAAGAGAGCTTCGAAATGAGCAGTATTAATGGTGTCAGAATTATAATTCAGATTCGATTGATGACGGAACTTAAAGATGGAAGATTGTGGTAACTCTTGAGTTATTAAATACATCAAAGAAATCTCGAAAATAAGATTACTTTTTACATAAATGTTGTTGAATTGCCTTCAATATTGATGTATTACTGTCTAAAATCATGAATATTAGCATTATAAGATCATTTTTTTAAATTTTCAAATATAATAACATATAAATAACATATATATGTTTTATAGAAAATATTGTTATGCATTCTTATTTACTTTTTAGTTACAATTGCTCTTACACTCTTAATATTTTAGAATTATAGTTCACAAATTTTCAACCTATATTTTTTATCGAAATTAACTTTTAGAAAGTACAATTTTGTGCGTCTAACTTTCGCTACGTAAAATAAAATGACTGCTGATTCATCGATTAATTATTTAAAAAGGCTTTTAATCAGTTAATCTACTTCAGTTTAGTGTAAATAATAAAAATAAATATTTTTATTTGAAAAAATGAAAAAACAGTTACTAAAAAATGAAGAACAAATAAAATTTGATGAAAACTCCAATGAAATTGGTTCACTTGAAACAAATATAGCAAAAGACTTGCTGAAATCTACGATCTATTCAGCCGGTAGTAAATACCTAAAAAGTTCCCGAAATCTATGCACTCCGTCAATACCCAAGGCGGCAAATTGGGGATGGAGCCACCTACCATGGCCTGCAAAGCTGATGATCGGCGGGGTCCTATGTGGCGTGATTAGTGTCACTACTCCGTACTGGGTCTGTCTGAAGTTTGATTCGTATGGTCATTCGACGTTTGGCTTGTTTCATTACTGCAATGGGGAGGTGTGCACATCCATTCATGATAATCTGGTTGAGGGTAGAAGTGTCGATGGTTAGATTTTGATTTAAATTTTGTAACTTTATTTTAATTTAATTAGACATTTTTTTAATCTGTATTGTAACCAATCAATAATTTAAATTTACTTTTTTATATTGTTTACTACTATAAATAATTCAAACTGAAAACAATTAATGTTTCCCAAATCATTGACCACAGCCTGGTTCCACTTAGTCCAGGGCAATATGTGTATAGGTGTGGCTTGCAGCATTGTCAGTCTTGCTATCATGACCAACAACTTGGAAGGGAATAATTTGAAGATGAGTCCGACCACGCTCGTTGCTGCTATCTCCATACTTGCTATTTCTGGTTTCTGGATTTTCATAATGAATATTTTCCATTGTTTAAATCGTTTTATAAATTTTCAAAAGATTTAAAATTAAAAGAAGAATGAAAATATTTGTCATTTGTTCTGACTTTTTTCATTTTTTAGATTAATTTTCAAATTTTTTTTATTTTTGGGTTTTGGTTAAAAATTCTCATCGTAGTTTGTTTTTGTTTTCAAATTTTTTATTTTCTTTCATAAGTTACTCTTATTTTTAGTTTTCAGTTGATTAAGGAATAGCACAGAAATAGTTTGGAAAAATAAGACTTACTCACCACTGAAATCACTCTGGTAAAAATTAAATTTATTTCCATAATTATTTGAAATTAGTTCAATGTCTCATATTTGCTTCTCTTCGAATATGTGTTTCATATTAGATTTGTTTTTTATTTCTTGATAATTTTTACTGATGCAAAGGTTTCATTTCCTCATTTCTTTGTCAATTTTTATTACAAATTTTGTTCAAATTTGTTTTTTCATTATTAGTATAGCAAAAATGTTTGAATGAATGGATATGTTTCAATTCATTACAAACAATTATTTTTATTAATTATTAATTCAATAATTATTAAAGCACAAATTTTTAATTTTTCAGCCTTAGAGCAATTTTTTGGCCTGCTGATTTTCAGCAACTACGTAGAAAATACAGACTTCCTCTTTGACATGGAAAGAATTTATAATTTAGATTTCTATGGTTCGTACTACATCGGAATAATAAGCACCGTCTGTTCTTTGGTCTGTTCCCTAATTCTATTTATAAACTACAGAGATTATAGGAACTATTCGGAGGCCAGTGAGTGTCTGGTCAGTGATCAAAAGCTGGTTGAGATTTACAATGAGTACGTGAGGAAACAGCATCAAATCTATTACGATAACAATGGCTACTATAACTTTAACGATGATGGGTGTGGTGTTGGCATTGCTGGGATTAAGGGATTTTTAAGGAACAGAAAGAAGAATAACCGTGGTGGTAGGTGTTACGATGATGATGATGATGAAGTGATAATGAAGAATAGAGTTTTCGAAGAAGATATGTATGGTTTTGAGGTTTGTGATAACTACGGTGAAGCTAATGATAATGACGATGGTGGTGATGACAATCAAAATGATAATGATGAAGATGATTATGACGATAATGATACATTTGATGACGACGATGGTGAATGTAATTATGATGATGGTGATGATTCAAAAAAATTAATCTCTACCGATGAGGATGATGAGGAGAAGAATGATGATGATGAAGTTAACAATGGTGAGAATGATGAGGAATATGTTAATGACGCGTTTAACGATGATTAGTTGTAAGTTACGGTTCTCAATTTATTTTGATTTAACGTTTTTTCTTTATTGTGCTTTTAAAATTACGTAATGTTTCATTTTGAGTGTTTCATATTCATGCTTTTGATGCAATTTTGTTATATCTACTCGCCTTTGTTCTTGCCGAGTGATAGTGTTCTGACATCTAGCGAATGAATCTAAACTAGTAGTGTTGCCGTTTGTAGTTTGGCTCTCTTTGATGTTTTCTCAAACGGCAACGAGTCGTAATTTTGAACTTTACCTCGTTCTGTTTAACAAAATTCTCTTTTGAATGCTTAAAGTTTGGAAGTTGGTTTTTAAATTTTCGAAATAAATTAAAAATGAGCAAAAAATCTGTTAAATTGTTTTACGATGTCGTGTCGCCTTATTCCTGGATCGCTTTTGAAGTACGTGGATGCTGACTGCCTCGTCTGTCTTTTTAATTTAATATTTAGTTTAATCTTAATGTTTAATTATTTCAGCATTCATTACTAATTTATCTTCAAATGTTAATTTGTATAATTTTTTCAACTCTTATCCACAAACCGAATGTTCATTGCATTCTTATTGAATCATGTTAGCTTGATTTTATTGGGTGAACCATATAAATAAGATTATTTATATTATAACAACAAGAACACATGTTTAGACGACATTTTCACCAAGATCGGGGTTGCCGTTTGGCTACCTATGATGAAACCGAAATACCCCTCGACGCCATCCACATCTGTCACCCGCCTCAGTATCACGCAACCCCGCTTTCACCCTATCCTTCTCCACCTGCTCTCTCCATCCCAATCGCGGACGACCCCTTCCTACCACTCCTTCAATCTCGAACTCCAACGCTCGCCTAATCCCAACCCTTTTATCTCTTCTCAACACATGTCCATACCACCACAATCTCGATCTCCTTATCAATGTCACAATGTCCTCATTCAGTCCCATCATTGACATCAGCTCTGTACTACTCCTCCTATCCTTCACTTTAACCCCACACATCATCTTCACAATAACTCCCTCAGCCCTCTGCAGTACACTTTCCTCCTCTCTCCTCAACACCCAAGTTTCACCACCATATATCATCGCTGCTCTCACACATGCTTTATATACCCTCCCTTTCATCTTCACTGACCATTTCTTTCCACACAATACCCCACCCAGCTCCCTAAATTTCATCCATCCTACACGAACTCTAGCCGTAACTGCGCTCAAACATCCTCCATCCGCGTTCAGCTTATCCCCTAAGTAAACAAAGCTTTCCACTCTTTCAATACCACCACTCAACCCCGTCCTTGCGTCCATCCTATTAATCACACCATGAACACATTTCTTACATTTGAACGTGCCTTCCACCTTTTTCAGTGCCCCCCTCACACCACTACATCTCTTATGCACCCATTTCTGACATCCTATACACAATACCGAGTTAGCCTTTACTCTGTCACATACCCCACAGGGGTTTATTTTACTTATCACTCGCTCCCCACCTTCCCCACATTATTTATATTATAAATAATATTTAATTTAAAATATAATATAATAACAATGAAATTATTTTTTGCTCAATTTGTTGGAAATAATTTTTTTAATTTTTTGATTGCAGACACTGTGCAGGTACAGGCAGAAGTGGAGCATTGATTTGATATTTAAACCATTCTTTCTGGGAGCTATTATGAAAGAGTCTGGTTGGTTGGTTGGCTGGCTGACTGGATGGTTGATTGATTAATTTGTTAATTTATTTTCATAATTTTATCCCAGGTAACTCACCACCGATGTTTGTGAAGAACAAAGCACTGTACATGTACCAGGATCTACAGAGACTTTCAAAATTCTATGAAATCCCACTGAAGACTCCATATGTTGGTGTTATAAGAGAGCTTGAATGATTAATTGAACGTGCAAATAAAGGATTGATATATATATATATATATTTTTCATTATATATATATATATATATATATATATATATATATAATGAAAAATTGAGTATGTATGTATGTATATATATATATATATAATATATTGTATATATATGTATGTATATATATATTTATATAATATATATATATATAATGAAAAATTGAGTGAAGAATTGAATGTATAAATAAATGAGCATTTAATTTTCAATGGCTCACGAAATTAAATGAATGTTAATAAATTTTCCTAATCTAAAAATAGGATTTGAAGAAAGTGATGATTGAGCAAGGTACCTTAAGGGCCCAACAACTGGTAACAGCTGTTCAGTTGCATCAATCTGATCTGGTTGAGGCAATTTCGAGAGAGTTGTGGTTAAGAATCTGGAGTAAGGTAATTGTTATTTTTCTTTTTACTTTCGTTGTTCTTCATCACTGTCAGTGTAATTAATGGCAGATGATAGATTTGATGTGATTATTTAGTGAAAGTTGTATTTGATCTTCATTTCAGAGGGAAGATATATACGAGAAGGCCAGCCTGAAAGAGGTGTATATATTTTTTATGAATGAGCGAATGAATGCATGAGTGGACAAATTATTGATGAATTGAATGAATAAATAATAAATGAATAAATATAATTATATATTATTACATTACTAACGACTACAAATGGATTTTAATAAAATCTATAAATAGCAACTGTAACAATCTTACAGGCTTTGTTAAAAGTAGGCCTCAATGAATCAACATCGGATGAACTTTTGAACTTTGCTGAAACCAGAGAGGTCAAGGATAAGTTAAGGTCAACCACTAAGGAAGCATTAGATCTCAAGGTATTTGATTGGCTGATATTTATAGATTTTATTTAATATCGATTTCCGGTTGGTAGTTATTTTTAAATGGATTTCATTGGCTGGTATTTATAGACTTTGTTTGATGTCAATTTGTGATTGGTATCCGTTTTTGGGATGTATGTATGTTCGTACCCGTGTTAGGCGTTTGGTTCTCCGATGATTTTAGTGAATGACGAAAATGGGGCCGAACATTTCTTATTTGGAAGTGATAGGATGGAATTGCTAGCAAGTATAATTGGTTAGTGCATTAATTCCTTTTCATCCATTCATTCATTCAGTTATTAATTCATTCATTTAACCGATCTTTCATTCGTTAATAAGTTATATAGATCTATTTATTAATCTTTTCTGATTAGTAGATTAATCGTTGCGTATTCAAGTCATTTGTATATTATAATAGTTATAATTAATTAATTATGGTAATTAATTATGTAAGTAACAATATAATTTCTTCGTTCAGGTGAAAAATATGAAGGCCCACTGAGGGAATTGTCGGCATTTCCACCACCATCTTCATCGAAATTATGAATCTATAATTTCCACCATAGAGATTCAATTAGAAATATTATTATAAAATAATTAGCAGTAGTATATTTAATATATATTTTGAGAGACTTGCGTTTGAAATGGGTCATGGTGTTTTGAGACATTTGTACATTACATAAAAGACATCGCCAATAAATTGTTTCTGTTCTTTTATTCGTTCGTTCCTTTCATTCGTTCATTGTTTGATCAGTTTATTTCAAAATTCAAAACACAGTCAGTAACGAAAGAAAAGTCTCGAGAAGGCATAAGAATTCTCTGAGCCAGTCAGTCGAAAACATTTTATATAACGAGCAGGAATTTTGCGTCTCAGGAAGCAATCCTTGTAGCGTTCAGTCTCCAATGCTGTTATTCATTTAATTCTTTATTCCTTCATTCATTCATTCATAGACCTTTTTGGTCATTCAATCATTCATTCATTCGATTAGTCATTCGTTTACCCGCCAACCCACCGATCTGTTAAATCACTTAAGCACATTATGACGGTACCCTGTAGTAATATGGTGCAAGGACTATATGATCTGATATGATGGTAGCAGTGTGGATGGTATGATGAAAAGGATCGGTGAGTGCTTTTAATCTGTTCCATAGCAGAGCATTTTTGTATTCAAAGCTCATAAAAAGTAGTAACCAGGCTAATATTCACACCAATACTCTACATTATTTATGCGATGACTCTACTCAATAAATCACAAAGACATTGGAACTTTATACTTTATATTTGGGGCTTGAGCTGCTATAGTCGGCACAGCCATAAGAATTATTATTCGAATTGAACTAGCCCAACCAGGGTCATTTTTAGGTAATGATCAACTTTATAATTGTGTAATTACAGCACATGGCCTAATTATAATTTTCTTTATAGTGATACCTATTTTAATTGGTGGATTTGGAAACTGACTTATCCCATTAATAACTGGTGCGCCAGATATAGCATTCCCACGACTAAATAACCTTAGCTTCTGACTTTTACCACCATCATTAATTTTATTAGTTACATCAGCACTAGTGGAAAAAGGTGCTGGAACAGAGTGAACAGTATACCCACCATTAGCAGCAAACTTAGCTCATTCAGGACCATCCATTCAAAGTAACTATTAGCCTAGTTACTATATATATATATCAGTATAGATATATTTGAGCATCTGGCCGCATATAATATATATATTTACATATATTTGTCTGTATAGTTCAAAACGTATTGAAAGCAACATTGATAATATAATACTAGCAATAACTGTTCATGAATAAATTATGATAGCTAACTGAGCAAACGTGTGTTTTTAGTATGTTAATGAGTATTTCTCAATGAAATGATGGGTTTTTGCTTTTTAAAACAAGCGGCCAGATAAGCTATTAGTCAATTGAACTTCACATACGCATGGACAGTAGAAATATAATTGAATGTTTACTTAAATAATAAAAACCCGAAAACACATATACACGCACATACACAACACATAAAATTAAACAAATGAATAAATTATGCTAATTTATTGGGCAGCACAGATGCAGTAGGTGAAAAGTGCGAAAGCGGCGAGCAGTGTGACTAATAATTCGGCAAGGACGGAAGATAGTGACGATAAAAGAGGGTTGTCGTGGGGCCGATGTGGACGGTGATGGCGAGGGAGAAAGTGACGCTGATGATGAAGTTTTTTAGAAAACTGATGGTGATGATGATGATGAAAAGGTGATGGTGGGGGATGTTGACGATCGCCTGATCCGAGTTGGACGTCATCATCGTCTCGATCAGGGTTTGAATATCGGTTTCGACGATGATGTTGTTGACGCCGCTCTGGATGATAATCTGCCTTAACGTATCAATCATAATTATCATTAACTAGTGAAGCTGATTCATAAATTATGATAATTTATGATGAAAAAATTCATAATTTCTCGATATATGTTTGCTTAATTTTAAAAATAGTAGCAAATTATAATTTGAATAAAATAAGATATACATCAGCTCGACAAATGACCAACTTGAAGTGCTCATGCGACTGTTGGCTTCTGGGACCATAGACAAATTACTCAAGTAGATTTCTAATTTATCTATGTCCTCTCTCTCCAGGCATTGTTTTATCTTTGGTGTTGATTCTCCTAATTCAGTTGACGGGGATTTTAATTTCTTTGCAGTCGTCAGTGAAGACGGTAACGTCCCGGTTATTAATCCTTCCGGAAAGAGTTTGCTTGCCACTTTTAAGCCTGGGGACGATGATGATGATGATTGTGATGATGATGATGAATGTGATGATGATGATGATGATGACGTCATAACTGACAATACTTTTGAAGAAGATGACAATGACCGAACATAATTTTTAATGGTCGAATCAAAAATCAATCGTCACCATCGTCATCATCATCATCACCACAATCATCATCATCACCACAATCATCATCAACACAATCATCATCATCACCACAATCATCATCATCATCACAATCATCATCATCATGACCTCCGGAAAGCATGAATATGTTATCATAGCCCCTCTGAACTAGTGTAGTTGCAACGCTACTGGCTATTTTTTCATCTTCATCATAAACAATTATTATGCAGCCTTCTTTATTTTTCTGTGTGTTTGTATGTATATGTATGTGTGTGTGTGTGTGTATGTATGTGTGTGTGTATGTGTGTTTTTCGGACGAAATGATGACGATGAAGAAGAAAAAATTATGAAGATGATAACAGATAAAGAAGAAATGATGAAGGTTATGATGATGCGGCGCTGACAAAAATGATGATGATGATGATGATGGTGGTGGTGATGATGATTCCAACATAGTCAAGCATCTCTTGAGATTCATAATTGACAGATCGAGAAAGCATGCTCTTTGAATAGCTGATCGCTGGATGGATGGAAGAAAAAACTAGTTAATGAATGAATAGTAAATAAATGAATGAAAAAATGAGTGAGTGAATAAAAAAATAAATGAATGAACGAAAGAATTGGAAAAACAAACAAAAAATCACTATATGATGGTTGAACAAACGGACGAATGAACAAACAAACGTATGAATGGATGAATGAATGAATGAATAAATGAATGAATGAATGAATGAATGAATGAATGAATGAATGAATGAATGAATGAATGAATGAATGGATGAATGAATGGATAGAAAATATGAATGGATAAATAAAATCAGCAGCCAACCGGGAATGATATGACACTGATCATACTCATCTCTATTTCTGATATCCAACAGAAGGAAGGGGCAATTCGATTGGCAGCTGCTCAGAGAATAAGCCACGCCTCTTTTTAATAGCAGCTGTTTGTTGTTGTTGCTGCTGGCGGTGCTGGTGGTCCCCGAGTTAGTTGCTGCTGTGTTGTTGCTTGAGTTCTTCTCTCTCAACACATCAAACTCGCCAATGCCTTGAGAAACACTGTGTATTTTGAATTTCTATCAGCTAGTGAATTGGTAATCTGATGTCAATAAGCAAGGCTTCAAATTGAGTTGTATAAATTAGATTTTTTAGCCGAATTCAAATTTGCTAAAAAAAACAAAGGTCTTTTATGAACTTTAAAGGTACTAAAATATGGAACCTTTTTTAAAAACAGAACAAAGAAATGATTAAGATAATGTAAAACGTGTTGATGGATAGTAATTTAACAGTATCAGTTTCATTCTTCAGCAATAACTTCGTGAGAATATAAACCAACCAACCAAATAATCACCCAACCAATTAGCCAAACAACCAACCAACCAATTAGCCAACCAACCAACCAACCAACCAACCCAAGTAACGTAGATCTATTGCTAACTTCACCACTCGCAAAACTTGCATTTGAAGGTTTGTCAAGTGAATCCTCATCAGCGTTTGCGCCATCTACAGATCTTTCTGTATCGGCTGGGGTACCTGAAATGAATTAGTGTATAATAATAATTAGGCAGACTATATTTAGCATTCTCATGATGATTTAATGGAATAAATTACATTCTTTGACATTCATTTAAAAAAAAATAATAAAATAGATAAAAAACATATTTGTATAAATTAGAGAATTGAAATGAAACGCGTCACTTACTAGGCATATCAAACTCATCTCCATTTGTCAACTTGTACACCTGTACTAACTTTATTGAAGAATTTGTTGATTTAGTTGGTGTTGTTTGACTATATAATTGTGATATTACAGTACAAAAAATTACATTAATACCTAATTTATGACATTGTCAGAGCTTTATGATTGTAAAAATGAATGAATAATAAAAGAATAAATGAATTAAACTAATACCAAAAAATGTTGTTACAAATAAAAAAGTTAGAGTAATAAATATAAAATGATGGGAGATAGGATGCTGACCAACTGAACAAACGTTGTTATCTTGATTCTTTTGAAGATTTCATCCTTTGAGAACTTGTAATCTTGAATGATCATTAATTTTTTGTTTTTGAATTAGTTTCAAAGATTTTCAAAGTCTTATGAATGCATGGATAGATTTTTGAAAAAATATCAAATTAATTTTCACATAAGTTTTTTCAACTTTCCAGGAGTTTACAATTTACATTACATTTTCAAAATTCAAATTTCAAGAAATTGAAATATAGATAAAGAATGAATGCTAAGGAATGAATGAACGAACAAATGATTGAAAGATAGAACAAACTTTGTTTAATTTCCTCTATCTTTTGAAGATACTTAGACATACTGGCCCCAGTGTCAATGGTCGCTTTGACATCTTTATATTTCGGATTAACCGGAATCTTCTTTTTCATGTTCTTTGCAAGAATTTAATAATTTTGGTTTGAATACAAAATGGAGATCAAAAAGATGAACAAAATGAACAAACATACATCAACTTTCAGTGGCCTTTTCGCGTTCAAAGACATTTTCAAGAAATTAGGATCATAAATTTCAAAATTATTGCTTAGAAACCAAAACCTAGATTAGATTCATCTCACTAGTTCGATAAATTGATCTAATTTTAAAAAATTTGAATAAAATTAATTTCTTTACAAAATTAAAACAAATATTTATATTTATTTATTAATTGTAAAAAATATTAACGTTAAATTTAGTAACCGTTTATGAATTCGTTTCTAAAATTTCAAAATTTTATTAACGAATACTGAATATTTAGTTAATTTCAATTTTTTTGTTGCTAATGTAAACAAATTATAACGTTACCAAAAACTAATGATATTTATAAAACTTGGCTAGGAATTTTTGGTTAGTAGCTCAGATGACTCACATTATTTTAATTTATTTTGTTTGAAATGTTATAAAATAAGACTAATTTGAATGAAATTTTACGATTATGATCGGTAAAAACATAAAAAGAGATTTTCGTCACGTAGATCGTTCATTACAAACACATCCAGTTTAAACATCTTTCTACATTTTGTATCATATAATTAGAATAAATATAACGGCCTTCGCTCATTTTTGACGGTCGAACAAGGAGCTTACTTCCGGAGGGAAATTGGAGGGTGATTTTTTATCGCCCAAGTCAAAAGTTAGGATCGTATATTTACTAATTTCGGAATATTGCTTTTATTTAAAATTTCAAAATGTTTTAAAAGGTGATACTAGATGCTGTTTTAGGATAGATATTGCTGTATGACGGTTAAGTATCTTTTTGTATTTTAAATAAAAAAAATTTTTTGTGAACCACCAACAACACTTAACTGTAACTCATTAATTGTAAAAATTGTACTTTCAATTTATTATATTTTATGCACTTAGAATGTTGGAGTTTGAGGTTGAAGGAGTGGTAGGAAGGGGTCGTCCGCGACTGGGATGAAGAGAGCAGGTGGAGAAGGACAGGGTGAAAGCGGGGTTGCGTGATACTGAGGCGAGTGACAGATGTGGATGGCGTCAAGGGGTATTTCGGTTTCATCATAAGTAGCCAAACGGCAACCCTGATCTCGGGGAAAATGTCATCTAAACGTGTGTTGTTGTTGTTGTTGCACTTAGAATGTTGTGTTATTAATTATTATCATTAATTTATTAAATGCTGTGCATACCTATGGCAAGTAAATAAAATAATTAAGCATAGAAATAGCCACAATCAAATTAATTTATATAGGCATGAGTATAATTTGGATAATAATAATTAAAAATATCGGTATCATTGAAAATGGATAAAGTCATAAATAAAAAAATAAATCATAAATTGCTGAAAATAATAGTTCCAGTAAGATTTTGCCTTACCCCTACATCTTTTTTTCATTCTTATATTATAATAAATGTTTGTTATCAAATATATCAAGGATTGATTTCTCAATCCATGACTGGATTGAGTGTCATGATCGTACAGTTCCAGAGGATCCCCATCACCATTAGTCAATAAGGTTTGTAGAAATCACCCCAGGCATACCATCAATGTTTTGTAGCCACCTTTTAATGTAGTGTTAATAAAATGACATTGAGAATAGTTATTTAAAACAATCTTATTAAAATTATTGAACAGGTATGACAAGTTTACTTTCTTAATGTCCTAGTGTGAGGAAGATGTAAGCCATTTGTCCAAAGATAATCATATGCCTTATGCCCATACAAATGCAGTGTCATCGCGAATGATTTTTGATCAGAGTCATATGTTCTAATTTTTTTAAACTTTTGCTGAAATTTTTCTGTTAATTTATTTGTTACATTAAATTCTTGATGTGTATTTCATATAAAAACTTGATTATGCCAATTTAGTTAACTTGTTAAACATTAATATAAAATTGACTCAATTTGTAATGGTGATTGGTATGATGATGATGATCCCAGTCCTAAGCAGGGATTATTATTCACAATGTTATTATGCCCTTTCTAAGTTTTAATAAAATACATGGAATATTGGTGAATGCATTTTATATTTTTTGTATAGATAATGTTGCAATGTACAATGATGATGTGAATTGCGTCCTTGTGTAACTGATGACATATAAATATAACTAACTTGAAAACATGGGAATGCTTTCTTCAGCATTACCTTCCTTTCTCCATCATAACCCTTATAATCTTTATTACAGAAATGGTCACTGCATATTCTTGCATTTTTTGATGGAAGCCATTTGAAATCATTTATTTCCTGTCTGATGCACTTAATCCAATCATTTTGCATTTTTACATTTTGAGGAAATTTGAAATTTTATAAACTGTTACAGAAACTTGTGCATTTCTTAAGTATTGCTTTTAATAATAAAATGGTAATCCATGATAGCATTATAAATTATAATAGTCTATAAAATATATGTAATTGTAAAACAAAATAGTTCTATTCAACGAGTATAGGGATATTGTTACATTTATTTTAGTGTGAAGTTAATTTGAAAATAAACCATTAATAAAATTATTAATGAAATTTTTAAATGCAACAGGTAGGCATGTTTGTGTATAGCTACGAAAATAAAAATTTAATTAAAAACTAAATTATTGTATCTGACACGAAAATTAGTACAGAAACAAAAACGAAAGAATAAATGACTATAAAAATTTAAACATTGATTGAAAGAGTTTATTCTAATCATATGGTATGGGCAATTCGTTGCGAAATTGTTGGAGGAAATGGTGTCAACAGTAGTTATTCTACTGCATGGTAGTTAATCAGCCGGTATAAAGGTTATATTCAATTCCTAACAAATAAATTTGACAAAATATACACAGGCAGAACTAAATAAAGGAATAGACATGTAGTTATAATACATTTATAATGTTGTATTTACACATTCAAATTGTGTTATGGTGTAGTCTCAAATTATTTTAAATTCTCTCAGAAAATTTTAAACGTTTTACTACACTATATATACTAGTTATTTTTATCAACAATTTAAAAATTTTATCAATAATTAAAAAAAATTTCAAATTGATTTCATTGCGATATCACTAATGATTTTTGTGACCTGACTGATTAAAAAGCATCAAAGAAAGTTAAAATAGGATGGAGAATTTGTTATATTGGGATATTCGTTTAAAAAGCGAGCAAAATTTTAATATAAAAGCGCTTATAAATCTATGCATATTGGCTCAGCTTGGCTTGGCTCGGCTTGGAATCGGATGTTAAGCAAGGTGTGGTCTTAAACTATTTTGAATTCTCCCCGAAAAATTTGAACTGCGTGCGTACATATATGGTAATGGCTACTGTTGTTTTTTATAATGAATTAATGCATATTGGCTCAGCTTGGCTTGGCTCGGCTTGGAATTGGATGTTAAGCAAGGTGTGGTCTCAAACAATTTTGAATTCTCCCCGAAAAATTTGAGCTGCGTGCTTACATATATAGCACTAATTACTGTTGCTTTTATAATGAATTTTTATTATATATATATATATATAAAGTGACTGGAATCCATGTATACAAATAATTAAATTATATTATATTAGATTATGTTTATATGAAAAGCAATATAGCAGATTCAACCAGCCAACCAGAAAGTTTCGAAGGCGTTCGTTCGATGACTTCAATTTAGTACGGTTAGCATTTTGGTTAAGACTGTATAATAGTGTAGTACATACATTAAATAAGTTTTTTACTGATGTGAATGATTGAAATGATGAAAATGTATGGTTGAAACGAGTATAAATAGGAGCTGAAAAACGTTGAAATCAGATCAGGCATTTCTGCCTCGCTCGAGTCGGAGTGCCTGATCTCATTTTTTTATATTTATATTTTTTTAATTTATTTATTTTTATTTAATTTTATTTTATATAGAGTTATATAGAGTTATATAGAGTTATATAGAGTTTGCATGTCTGTGGTTTGTGTGTTTGTATGTTGTATTTTTTTATATTTTAGGTGGGTTCTTTAGCGGTTGCTCATACATACATACATATATCATGTTTGTTTGTGTGGTAGTATTTTATGTTCTGTTTTACTCCTTTTTATCTTTCTTCATGAGTCTTGAGTTAAGTTAATGAAGCATAGGTAGGTGAGGTAAAAATTAATTTATTATATAGGTAGGCTAGGGCATAAGGTAATTTAGTTACATAGGTAGGTTAGGGACTCCTATTCTTTTGCTCTACTTGGTGGTATGATTTTTGTTTTGTGTTTTTTTTTGTTTTGTTTCACATCATACATTCAGCAGGTACGCGGTAGTTCCTGGTTTTAGTGGAATTTTTATTGATTGAATGTGGTAGTATGCATGGTTATATAGAGTTATATAGAGTTATATAGAGTTATATAGAGTTATATAGAGTTATATAGAGTTATATAGAGTTATATAGAGTTATATAGAGTTATATAGAGTTATATAGAGTTATATAGAGTTATATAGAGTTATATAGAGTTATATAGAGTTATATAGAGTTATATAGAGTTATATAGAGTTATATAGAGTTATATAGAGTTATATAGAGTTATATAGAGTTATATAGAGTTATATAGAGTTATATAGAGTTATATAGAGTTATATAGAGTTATATAGAGTTATATAGAGTTATATAGAGTTATATAGAGTTATATAGAGTTATATAGAGTTATATAGAGTTATATAGAGTTATATAGAGTTATATAGAGTTATATAGAGTTATATAGAGTTATATAGAGTTATATAGAGTTATATAGAGCATAAATCCTATATAGATACCTTTCTTTGCTCTTCTTTTCTCTTTTCTTTGCCGACCGGTCGGTTTCTTTGCGGTTATTTTTATTTAAATTGAATAAATAAGATTTTACCATTCATTTAGGTTTTTCAGGTTCATTTATCCAGGTTGAAGCATCCAGAGGAGTTCATCGTGGACGATCAGAATCGTTGTGATGTCACGCTACGTTCGTTCATTCCATGGCAAAGAATGCACGTCCTGCTGGGGTACGTTTTACGGTTTCTTTGCGGTTCTTTTGTTTGCAAGTTGGCTGGCTTTTCCGACGGGTTTCACCGCGGCTCGTTTTTCTATTTTCATTTAAATTAGTCAAATAAATAAGATTTTTCCATTTCTTCCATTTTATTCAGGTTGAAGCTTCCAAAGGAATTCATCGTGGAAGATGTCAGGCTACGTTCGTTCATTCAGTGGCAAAGAACACACGCCTGGCCGGGATACGTTTTATTCTTTTTTCTCTGTTTTTCTATGTAATTTAACTAAGTAAGAATGCTCACACGCACACACACACACACACACACGCAAATACATTAAGTAGCTATATAGGTAGGTTAGATAGGCATAATTTTAATTGTAGGTAGGATAGATAAGAAGCATCCAACACTAATGTAGTTAAATAGGTAGGCGTGTAAGTTTATCGCTTCTATTTTTTCTTGCACCAACATTACACGCGTCAGCGTATTACACACACACACAAATACATACATAAACACATATGTTAGTATTTGAGCGTAATTTTATTTTCATTACACATTCTAATTTATTATTACTAAGGTTGAGAGTAATTTAATTTTATAGGTAATTAAGGGCAATAATGTAATTCTAGGAACAATCTTGTAATGTAAATTAAAACGCCGTAAGTGTATCGATAGGTAGGCTAATATAAGTTTTACATTATTATTATTATGTTGGAGCCCAAGGCATTACGTAGGTGGTGGGGTGGGCGCCGATTGGCTAAATGAATTGGGCTCTTGAGTTTTGTAATTTTAAGTAAGCTAGGACCGTAATGTAATGAATAGGTAGGTTAAGGCTACGTTGTAACACATACTCATTAATAGATTTAGGGTTTAAGTTTTATATTATTATTACTAAGTTGGAGCCCAAGGCATTACGTAGGTGGTGGGGTGGGTGCCGATTGGCTAAATGAATTGGGCTCTTGAGTTTTGTAATTTTAAGTAAGCTAGGGCTTAATTGTAATGAATAGGTAAGTTGAGGGTACGATAGCCGATTGACTCTGGATTTCAAAGTCTCTTGTCAGAGGTAAGCCTTGGTGGCCAGTGGTGAACCGGCAATGGTTTACTATCCGGACGGCAATGGTTTACTATCTGCACGGTAATGATTTACCATGCGGCATGGCCATAGTCTACTACCCGCACGGCTTCCGGACGGCAAATGGTTTACTATCCGCACGGCAATAGTCTACTATCCGCACGGCAATGGTTTACTATCCGGTGCCCTGGCTGTCGGTGAGCCTCTGTGCAAGGAGGGAGAAGGAAGGGGGACTTTCGACTATCGTACCATTAACAATTTAATATAGATTAGTTAAGGTAATTGAATAGGTAGATAGGATTATTTTTATTAAACATTTTGAGATGCAGGCACCGCTAAGCTTTCTGATGAGAATCTACTCTTTCTCTATCTTTCTCCATCAACACGGGCTGTGTTTCAACAACAATCTCGAGGAGGACTGGCACCAGTTTTGGAGGACAACGCAGGCACTCAACATTCTGCCTTTGTCGAATGGACGACGGTAAGTTTTTTTTACATTTTACTTACTTTATTATTTTAAAATTTTATTTATTTGCCATTATTTTCATTTTATAATTTAATTTTTTTTGCTTCTAAGATTCTGACATTCATTTACTACTACGCAAATAAAAAAATTTTGTTTACAGAATGATGAAAGGTGGGCAGTGGTGGGAGTCAGCACGTTTTAAATGGAGGTTTCATGATGATTTACATATGATGATGGTGGTGTAGAAAGAATCAGCTCGTTGGCTGTTCGACTGACACTCTGAAGTTCGGATGGTATTTTGTGTGCCGACCAGATGGTGGTGGTCGGTGCAATGGAAAGTACAGTAACGACGATTTTTGAAGTAAGGTTTAGTAGTTTCGTTTTTTATTTTTCTCATTCGTTCATTTTATCACTCAACCTTTTAAATTATTCTTCTATTAATTGATTCGTTAATTCATTCTATTCATTAATTGAATCATTGATTTATTAATTCATTCATTCATTCACTCATTCATTCAACCAATTATTCAATCATTCAGTTAATCATTTATTCAATCGTTCCTTTGTTCCTTGATTTACTAATACGCTATTAAAAAAATGTCTACAGAATGATGAGAGGTGGGCTGTGGTGGGCATCAGCACGTTTCAGATGGAGGTCTCATGATGATCGTTCCGATTACAATTCGAAGATAACAACAACGACGGTTTTTGAAGTATGATTTAGTTTTTTTTTTTTATTTTTCTCATTCATTCATTCATTTTATCACTATCTTTCAAATTATTCCTCAGTTAATTTATTCATTGATTCATTCTATTCATTCATTAAATCATTGGTTGATTAATTAATTAGTTAATTTATTCATTCAACCAATCGTTCAATCATTCAGTTAATGATTAATTCGTTCGTTCCTTTGTTTCTTGATTTACTACTTCGCTAATTAATAAAAACTTGTCTACAGAATGATGAGAGGTGGGCTGTGGTGGGCATCAGCACGTTTCAGATGGTGGTCTCATGATGATCGTTCCGATGACAAATCGAAGAAAACAACAACGACGATTTTTGAAGTATGGTAAGGTAAATTTGTTTTTATCTCATTGTACCTTTGAAAGTACTCGAATTTGAACAAAGATTGAGTGTTATCTCAAAAAGATAAGTTGCCTATTTTCTCCAATTGCTTGGTTTTTATTTTAGTGAATTAATTTTTTTTTTCAATTTATTTTTCAGTATCCGGTCAAATTCATTCCATCGATGCGTGTCAGATGATGGTCGGTGCAATGGAGGTTCGTCGGTAGTGAGTGAAGTTTCTGAAGAGTGCGCGCCCGCACATTTACATACACACACATCAATACAACACATACATACACAACATCCATTCATTCGGTGTCGTTGTTGCTATGTTTCTCTTCAACTTTATATTTTCTTTACCGTGAACCGAGCTTTAATTTAATTCATAGGTAAGTTAGGGACTGAGATGAGTTAAACATTTGTAGGTAGGCTAGGGCTTAACATTAGTTAAAAAGCTTCAAGTAAAATAAAAAGGCTAAAATATGTTAAATAAAATACTTGAAACATCTAAAACGAGAAATACAAATTTGTAGGTAAGTGAGTTGAGTCAATGTTTATAAGTAAGCTAGGGCCCTGAGAGTAATTTTATTATAGGTAGGTGACTGACTACTATTCTTGCGACTTCTTACTAGTTTTGTGTGATGTGTTTGTTTTCGCTTCACAACACCACTCCAACAAAACAAACTACATTTCATTCTCGTCGTCGCCTTAAATTGTACCTTTTTGAACAATCTTTTTAATAATGTCTATTTATTTATTCATTAAATGTTGACTGGTTTCTAGTTTTTTTTAAATTGGTTATATAGTTTTTGGATATTTCTTGATTTACTTTGTATATATGCATGTATAAATTATTTCTGTTTAGTATGTTGATTTAGTCATTATGATATGTTGTGAACTGTTCTTACTAAATGTTCATGTTACGTGGTTTATTATCCTTCCAGAACTTCTAAGGAGTGTGTATGATAATAATAATAATGGATAATAATTATTTTTATCGGTCGATATTTTGTTATATTTGTTTATTTAAAATACGAATTTAAAAAAAAATTGACATTTTAAAATTTTAATTAACCGTCACTTTTCATTTTTGAATGAATTCAAATAAAAGCAACTACTGTGTTTTTCTTTCTTTACTAAAATCTCGAAATTGTTTGTAGATCTGTACGGTTAACTGTTTGTTCGAGTTTGAACAGGCCTTGCAAATTTTTTTTATTTATTTTTGTTTTTATTTTTGTTTATTTGGTTCATTCAATTTAGTTGATTGATTGATCGGTTGATTGATCGGTTGATTGATCGGTTGGTTGATTGATTGACTGACAGACTGGCTGGCTGGCTGACCGACCGACTGATTGTTTGATTGATTTATCTCATAGCCTATTGTATACATGAGAAAAAATCCGATTAAGCCAACCTACGTCTTCAGTAAGCTACTGTTTTTCACCTGACAAAAGCAATTTCTATATTTATACTGACAAAAATAATTGTGATATGAAAATATTGATTTATTTAAAGCATTATTTGTACAAAAAAGTGCTATCGTAAGAGTTCTATGAAACCCTGTAAGCCACTGCCGTAAGCCAACGTATGATTTCAGCAGCCAGTTTCTTATGAGCACCAGTAGAATGTAAAATATTCATTGAATATAATGAAGATAGTTGTTCAAATAACAATTTTGATTTATTTAGGCCGTTTATTTCATAAGCAAACCAATTTTTAACATGATCGAATAGTGTAAAAAAAAGGTTGACTATAGTTCAATCCTACTAAGCCAACCTTCGGCTTAAGTAAGCCACCGGATTTCACCGGACCAAAAGCAATTTTTATATTCAAATTAACAAAAATAATTTAATAATACATAATTCTATTTATCATTTTTAAAATTAAATAAAATTACTACAATGTTTTAAGCATATTAAATCAAGTAAATATTTCATTTAGCTTGCTCGTTAAAATCCATGCAATTTCGTAAGCCAACAATCCAAGCACGACAAATAGCCCGACCGATAGATCGAATTGATCGATAAGTCCTATTATTCTAGTTTGGAGCAAGGGGAGACATTACTGAAAATAATTAAAAGTTGAAAAAATTGAGGTTCTTTGCATATCCCTGCTTCAACCCATAAGAGGGTGTTGTATGCTGGTAAATAGGCCTCCCCTTGTTTTGTATACTCTAATTTTGTCTAACAATGAAGGTTTTGTATAAAGTGAGACCGATATGAGCAAAATTTAGCGGATTTCACCAGATAAACGTAAGAAATTCTTTAAAATGAAAGCCTTTAATCACGCTTTTCACTAACAGTACGAACGCACGACATTTCAAGCCATATTTCAACCTTAATTTTTTAACTAATTTAAAGTGTTTTTCGGTATTATGCTGGAAAACCATTTCAATAGAAACAAATTCGATAAAAAAAGTTTAACGGTTGTCTGAGATTTGATAACAGAATATAATAGCGGGTTCAAACTTCTATAAGAAAGTGCTTTCATTTTTATTAAATTTTTATAAAACTTCTGTTGAATTAGCCTAAATAGATACGTTGAACGAAATTTGTTAATCTGTTAGCCTATAATGTTCAGCAATAGCTTGAGGCAAATTTCTTTAATCTAATCTAATTTTTTTAAATATAATATGAATCTGACATTTAATTTCAAATTTAATATAACACAAATTTATTCAACAGAGTATAAATTAGTTAGTGTAAATTTATTTGAAGATGCATATAAATAGATAATAATTCGAAAAAATTGCGGCAATTCGGGTCACGAATTAATTCATTTGCAGAGTTTATAAAAACTGAAAGACTAAGTAAGATCTTTACAACTCAAAACTTAAAATAAAAAAATAAAATTGGCAGATGTGTTTAAACTAAAATAATCAACAAAACTTTGATTTTAAATAATCTCAAAAATCACTAATTAGTAGAAATCAGTGTCGTTTAGAAAAAAAAATCCCACAGCCTTCCCCAAGATGATTGCCAGGCACAAGTAGGTATTGAAAGTCATGTAAATTAACATAATGAGAATGCCCAGACTGCTGTGGATCGTGTAGAGGATTGTTTTAATCAGGTTAGACCTCGTGAATGGACTCGAACTGTCATATATACGAAAGAAATATTTTGAATCGAGAAAATTAAAGTGCACATTTGATGCTAGCAATAAACTAATCATCATTCAAAAAAAAAACATTATGTCCACAGTTAAACGAGTTCAAAATAAGAACCAAATTAATGGATATAAATGCTAGAAATGATGTTTACCGCACTCACCATGCTTTTGTACTTTCAGTTTGTGCTCTGTCTACTCCTCCATAATCGTTCGATTCATCTTTAAAACGCTCCTTGCGATTCAAAATTTAAATTCAATTTTTAAACAATAACTGACATTATTACGATATTTAAGAATCAAATAGATGCTTATTTTTCCGAATGAATTAAATTTTTTCAAGTAAATATTACAAAGAAAGCCATAACAACTTAACTGTTCGTTCAATAAGCTTCCACTTGTAGCACTTCTTGGCATAACATTCCTTCACGCTCTGTACAACTTCAAATATTATAGCTACAACAAAGGCAAACACACAAGCAAGCACCACATCTGAAAGTTTCAATGAAAAATACAAATCATTAAACAGACGGATGTTATAAAGTACAATGTAGAGGTTATATCTTATATAGCTAGATACATTTTGTATGGACGTTTTATGTATAATTTACACGTTATATAGATGATTGATGCATCGATATAATTTATAAAGAAATGTAAAACCAATAAAGCAATGAAAGTTTCAAGAGATGGAGTGAATTTTTGAAATCATTTGCAAGACAAATCGCCTAAATATTACCAAACTTAACAAACAAAATTATCAGTCTAAATGAAATTTTATGAAAAATAAATTTGAAGTGAAAAAATCTTCAAAATTGCAAACCTGGAGCGTTGTAAGTCTCCCAACCCTGAAACAAAATGACGTTACGCAGTCGAGTATGGAAGTAATTTAACATTTCGTCGTAGTTCACCTCACCATAAAGCTCCATCACCACTCTAATTCAAATGCCGATTTTGTTATAAACAAATTATTCATCATTAAATATCGAGATAAATTATCAGAAAACTAATAAACTTCACAATTATTTCATTTATTTCTACATATTTCCTAAAAAATTCAGATACGATTTCAGCACAATGAAAAACGCACTAGAGAAATTTAACATGGTTTAAACAAGGAACAATAAACAACACGCATTTTTTAAAAAGTTATATATAACCGGACACATAATTCTACGTTATTATCTCATTCGTTAGCGTAAATATACACAATTATCTAATGAATAAGTGCTATATAACATTCAATGAATTATAGAATGGCTAACTGTTATGAAGACACCTACCAAAAATATCAGTAAAGGATTAATCTCTTTATTTTAATAACTTATTTGTATCTTTTATCCAACTATTTGATGAAAATGTAAAAAAGTAAAGTTACGTAACGTAAACTTTATCAAAAATTCAATATATATATATTTTGAATTAAGTTTCCGTCATTTCATAGAACAATTTCTATTCTACCATTTTTTACATTTATATAACAAAAAAAAAAATCAAATTATTTTCGAAGAAATAATATTAAAAAGTTAACAAAACATGTCTAAAAGGTACATTAAAATGCCTATAGAATAGATTAAACTTATAAAAGTTATTAAACACTAACAATAAGCAAACATGTTAGGTAAAGAGAGTTAACATTACAGAATGTATCTGTGATAATGTTAGCAATGATGAATGAAGAACACCTGGTCCCAAACAAACACGAATACAAAAATCGATGAACACTAATCAATAAAATGAGCTTGAGGTATGGTTAGGTTTTTGTATATTTATCACTATTTATCATCAATAACATTTTATAATAAATTCAACTAAATTAAATACATATTATCACATTTTAAGTAAGAAATTTCATTGAATAAACTTAAAATCAATGTAACAAGATATAGACATATATATAATATGCCAAACAGATACAGCTGCTCCCAAACACCGTCAAGTTTCCCTAACTTTTCTAGTGCATGCAATACGCATTATGGAATTATTCTCAGTGAAATACATGCCAAAGACAAAAATTCGCGACCATCACTATACTTGTGTGAAGTTAGGCTAAAAACCCGATAAACTGAAAATAAAATACTAAATATGAATAACTGCATATTAAATAAATGGATAGATGAATGGAAGATTGGATGAAAGATTGAATGAAAGATTGATTGATTGAATACAGAAAAAATGTTAATTACATATCAAACAATGGTAATGGTAACTAGCTGTATAACCTAAACCTGGCGATAATATTTCAAAAAAATTCTCGCAATGAAACGTCAAATGAACATATAAGAACGTCAGACATATAAATAGTAGTATCACAAATTATTAATATATTATAATTAAATTTAAAATTATGCAATGGCATTGTAGTAAAATATACTAACTTAAATCCAGCGGCACTACTAAACTAATAAGAATGACACAAAATGATGCTTCTAGAAAGACGGAAAAATAAAAAAATAGAAATAGGTAAATCTAATCTACAACTACACCCCCATTCCTGACGATGCAAACACATTCTCTGGCCAATAATTTCAGAGATCTGCTCGTTAAGGCCAAAGAATAGAAAGAAATACCAGCAAGAATGAACATAGATCCGCCGAAATAAAATGTTTCATTATAGGATTCATAGTGCTGGTACAAAGAACCTGTACGAATATAATTCGTTCATTTATTAATTTATACAATCAATCAATCATTCATTCATTCACCAGTTTAATCAATACTTTATTTATCCAAACATTCATTGCATAACAAAAACATCAACTAATCAGCCTTTTATTTATTTATTATTCGACCGTTCGTTCAAACACTTTTCCAATTACGAAGCATCAACAAATAGGCAGCAATCCAACCAGCAATGGGGGGTCCAACCATGGTGGCCACTCCCTTAATTAGGCAGAGCATGCCAAATGAATTAGTGAGGTTCTCAAGTCCCAGATATTTCACTAAAAACATCGGTGTCAGTGGAATGAAGAATGCTGTTTGTATGAAATGTTTATTTCATTTTATTTTCATATTTTTTAACTTAATTACGCGGAAAATATGAAAATAATAAAGAAAACTAAAAAAAATAAACGGTAGAAAAGAACGAACCGACAAAAAACCCGAACGAAATAGCATAGAATAGCAAAAAATTGAAGGAGGTGAACATAGACAACATAGCAGTCAAAGAGCCAGCGACGATCAAACTCAAACAGTTGAGGTGTAGAATGTTTACAAAACTTATCGAGGCAAGTATGCCGCCAAATGCTCGGCCAATCATGTTGCTCCCACCTTGAGAAATTACAATTTTTAAGAACTTTTAAAAATATTATAAACAGTCACGCGACAACAACACCATCAACAACAACAACGACATCATGATTAAGAGCAATCACTTAGCCAACAACGTCAAAAGGGACCTAGAATTGATAGAAGCAGCGCTCCTTGATTTGCACTGAATCCTAACTTTTGAGCATAATCAGTTAGAAAGAGTATGGGGACGAAGAAAGCAAGTTGTATGAATATGCAGCTGACGTTGATGATGAGGAATGAGGCACTCGAGAACAGACGGATGTCGAAGAATCGACTTAAAGTTGAAAGGCATTTGTTTCTCATGTCTGTCGCCGAGATGTTATTCGAGTCTTGTATAGTCGCTGCAGTCTTTTGGTGTTGCAACTGAAGCTGTGAACTATTACTAATGCTGTTCTTGTGAGACTGCAGGTGTTGCTGTGATGTCTGCAGAACTGTCGAAAGACCGTCTTTTGAGCATGAAGACAGCATCTGAAATGTTGCATTCAACATTAAAACGTGATTGATCTATGGTAAAAGCAAAAAATGAAATAACTTTAATATACAATAAAATACATTTAAAGATTCCATAACAATTGTAACAGATCATTTCATAATCCAGAGCATCACCTGAGTCACATCCCTATTTCCGGGGAGAGTCCCATCCCTGATTATGGCCTGGACATTCCTACTGGACCCCACGAGTCGATGGAGGGAAGATATGCTGCCAGTATAAAATGCATCCAACCTATTCAGAGGATTCAGAACGACCATCCTCGAATGAGACCTCATCAGACGACTGCCAGATGTGGCCTCACTGTGTTTCTTGTTCAGCAACTGCACGAAAGCATGGTCGACCGTAATGAACGATTCACTAATTCCCCGATTTCGTCTAGATGGCTGGCCGGGGATGGGGGGCCGGGCGAGAGAAGATGTGGGTGGTTGTTGGGAGGGGGTAGGCGATGACGAATCAAGAGAAGATGGGACCGGTGCTGATGATTCTGGAGGAATGGTCGTCCATGTGGTCAGTTCGGAGTTCGACAGCGATGCCGCGTTTCCCTTCTGTTTCATGAAAAATTTTTTGGGTCTCCATTTCGTCTTATCATCACTGATGTCGTAAGATTTGATGAGTTTGTTCGAAATTAAATTCTGAACTCCAGCCACTATTTTGTTCTCTTTCAACTTCAGCTCTTCCTTCTCGATGATCACATCCAACTTCGGAAAAACTTCATTTGATATTTTTAATGAATCAAAAGTTTCCTGTTTGATTTGATTCTCAAGAGAATGGATGGATCCATTAACGCTGTATCCAATGCCATCTTGGCACCTGAACTCATTATATCCCAAATTATCTTCATCATCTTTTTCCTCCTCCTCCAAGATGCCCACATCATCACCTTGGGCATTCCTTGTTTGAATTAATTCAACTTTTAACGGTCTCATAAGGGCTCCACAGACGGCGCATTGCAATCCCAGCCCGGCCATAATCCACAGACACCCCTTCCACCCGTAATGATTTGACAGAAAATCGGCCAGTGGAGACAAAATGAGAATGCCGGCACCGGCCCCAGCACAAGCAACCCCATTGGCTGTCCCTCGCCGGTGCAAGAAGTAGTAGTTCACCATGACAGAGGCTGGTGAATAGATCAGGCCGATGCCGAAACCTGGTGGTGATGATGTTGATTGCGGTGATAATGATGATGTTGATGATGATGATGGTGGATCACATAAAAGTATCTTAACAAACATCTCAAGGAACTCCATTAAAGTTGAAGACAAAATTAAAACTCTAACTTTCAGTAGCACTAGAAGAACAATATGATAATACAGATAATAAATCTTCGTTAAAAAAATGCAACCAACCCCCAATAACACCAAAGAACAATATAAAAACATAGATATTAGTGGCAGTAGTGCTGAGCAGTATTGAGATTGTTGCGATGACAGTTCCAATGATCGTCGTCCGTCGGCAACCCAGGTAAGCTATGAAGCTACTGGCTACTATGCCTGTGTGAGTGTATCGTGTAATCATCATCATCATCATCGACAACATCATCATCATCATCGTCCTCATCATCACCGTCAATGTTTTCTTACTGACAACAACAACAACGACACCCAAAGCAGCAGCAGCAGCAGACCTGACATGAGGAACATGCCAGCATAGAGGGATCCAACCAGAGCCACTTGTGAATGATTTGAATCGACGAAATGTTCAACTAAACGTGGAAGCAAGACACCTACAACTGATGCAAAACCATCAACTATACCACAACAATAAAAAGAAGCAGCCACAATCACCCATCCCCAGCCGCCATCGGGGGGGTCCATGTTTCTACTGATTAGGGAATTAGGCGGAATTTCCTTGGAGTCCAGAATGTTGTTAATGTGGATGTTGACATCAGAGTTGCAGCTGTTGTGGTTGTTAGCAGTGTTGCTACTGGTTTCTGTTTCATGTTTGTCCTCATTCAGATGGTTGTTGTGGTGCAAACAGCTGTTGTTGTTGTTGTTGTTGCTTGATAACTGAGTAGCAGAATCTGTCACTGCTGTTGTTGTTGTTGTTGCAGTTGTTATGGCTGATGTTGTTGTTGCTATCATCGTTGCTGTTACTGATGTTGTTGCTAATAGATGTTATAAAGAAAAAACTTTTGCCAGCTAAAATCTGTATGTGAAAAAAACCATGAATTCAAATCTAATCTCAAAACTATTAAAATGATATATAGAACATAAATATACAACGAATGTATGCAAGAAATGTTTTGATGGTTTTAAGTAAGGTTGAATGAACTAAATAAAAATCATTAATATCAAATGTGGATGCATTCATTGTTAATTAAATTATACATATATGTATATATATATATATATATATATATATATATATATATGTATATATATAAGATATATAACACACACACATACATATATATATATATATATATATATATATATATGTGTGTGTGTGTGTGTGTGTGTGTGTGTGAGTGAGTGAGGGAATGTGTGTGTGTGATTCAAAAGTGTTTAACCTGTTAATTATTTTGAGAGTGTTCAAAGTACAAGTACTAATACTCTAACAAAAAAGTTTGTATATATATATATATATATATATATATATTCATGTTTTTGTGTGTATACAGGTCTGTCTAGACCACTAGAGATATATAAATTTTGTATATCTATATCTATCTATAAATATATATATATACATATATTTATATATCATTTTAAACATACAGTTAGACATATAATTGCATATGCAAATGCAAAACCATCAGTAGTTATTATCACACACAACAAACACAAACAGATACAAATACACACACACATTCATACACATACATTTATTTATTTATTTAATTATTTATAATAATAATAATTAGTACCTGTGAAATATGAAAAGGCACAAAACAGAAAGAAACTTCTTTATTTATTGATGTACATAGATGTTTTTGGTGACACATACAATACATAACCACGCTTGGACCGGCATTTTGGTGGTTAGTAAGTCAAATCATTTGATTTCAGACGGGATTAGAGCTGTCACTAGTACAATCCAGACAGTAACTAATTAGTATTCACTAATCAATGATTAGCTTTTTTATTGATATCTGTTTGTTTGTTGAGTTTTAATGATTACAAAATAATATTTAAAAATGTGCAGTTAGAAATAAAAAACTCAAAGTTCAAACTTGTAGTAAAAATAAAATAAAAAGTAAGTAAGTGTAGCTGTTGAATTTTAAATAATTGCAACATATTTAATTAAAATAAAATAAAAAAGCAACAAACCAAAATGAAAATATACCGTTGTGGCAAATGGAGACGCGTGAAAAACATCGCACATCATCTGTTAGCCAAAAAAGGCAGTCCCAAAAACATAAATTAGGAAATTAGTGAAAAATAGAAACAAGGAACATTAAAATTCAAAAGTGAAAATATTTTAAATCAAAACCGAAACCAGCAAGTTGGAGCTTTACGAAACAAGTATCAATTGTATGGAAAGAATGATGAAAAACTTTAATAAATTTGAAATACAATATATTTATTTTAGACATTTTTTAAATATAAAATGTGTTTTTAAAATAAATTTTGAGCAAGTTTTTTAAATTTTAACATAGCTATTTTAGGCTCTTATGTTATTTGCATTATTTCTCAGTTTAATGACTGTTAGGAAATAATTTAAATAGTAATTTAATTAAAAAAGTATATGTCAAATTTAGTTTTTAAAGGATTTTTACATTTAAAACATATCAAACTAGATAACTTTATCCTTAAAATGAAACGTTTGACAATTATATTTAATTACATTATCAACCGCGATTCATTTTTAAACATTCTCAAACCGAATTAATCTTTAAAGTTTTCTCCATAATTTCTGTGTTGTGCGATGAATTTTTCATTTTTAACTTTATTTTTCATTAATTTCTCATTTTACAAAAGCTTTTGCGAGGAAGATCTGTACGGCATTTTAGGAGTTGATCGGTCGGCTTCGGCTAGAGACATCAAGCAGGCCTACAAGCAACTGGCCAAGGAATGGTTTATTTTATTTATATTTTATTAGTTGCTTTTTTCAATTTGTACTAATTAAATTAATTAATTTATCACTAATTTCAAAAATAAATCTTAAAATATTTCACTACAAATGATTGATGAGTAAATAAATGAATAATTCATGGATGGATGAAACATGAAAAAAACTTTTGATTGTGTTTCAATAAAATAAAATTGTTTCATTTTAATTTTTTAAATTCAACTGATTGAGCTAGGTTTAGGTTGGGAGCTAAATGGGATGGGTGTGAATGCATGCTTAATAAGTTGATTGATTATCCAACATTAAATTAAATTAAGATTTAGTAAAATAATACAATCACTTTAAAAAAGTAATAATTAAGATGTATCAATAACCACACACATTGACTTGTTGTTACATAAAAAATAGATGCTATACATGCATATATAAATACATATTCACATTGTATTTTTCTTTGCAGGCATCCAGACAAAAACAAAAGCCCTGATGCAAATGAGAAATTTATGAAAATAAATGAGGCTTATGAGGTGTGGCTTGCTTGATCATTCAGTTCAATTGTTTCTTTCCCTAATTTTTCATCACAACTATCTCTTTCTTTCCCATCTAATCTCTAATCTTATTTTCTTTCTTTGAGTAATTATTCGTTTTCTTTTCTTCCTGTCATTACTATCTCGTTCTATATCACTATCTCTCTCTCCTGTGCTCATTCATTCATTCATTCATTCATTCATTCATTCATTCAACCAACCATTCATTCATTCACATCTTATGCAAAATAACAATGATAATCTTACCATCATTAATGATTAGTGGTATTATTTAAAAAGTGAATTGTAATTGTAATTATAATTAATTATCATAATTTATGCACTATCAGACATTAAGTGATGAAGACAAACGAGAAGAATACGATAAATTTGGGACCACGAGCTCCAACGCCCAGGAGAGACATCATCGAAATCCTTTCGGCGGGGGAGGGTAAGAATAATTATATTTATTATTATTATTATTACTGTTGTTGCAATAATAATTATTATTTTTATTGTTGCTATTGTTACTGCTGGTTGTAGTAAGCATTTAAAGACATTTTTATAATTTAATAAAGCTGAATTGATTGACCCATTTGGTATGTTTAAATTTTGAATCTTTCAATTTATAATTTTTATCAAATTTAAAAATCTGAATTCCCCTCTGAAAGGTTCGAAGGTTTCACTTTCCATTTTGGCCAGGGAGGTCCATTCCATTTCAACTTCCAAGACAATGGAAACTCAGACCTATACAGCAAATACAAAATCAACTCCTGGTTGGTTTTTACTACACTTTCCTATAGAAACCCACGAGCGAAAATGCTGTCATACTTACTTTTCACTATTCTAAATCCGTTAAATTAGGATGTACGAGAGTGTGATCCTACCAGAGAGTACCCATAAACCATTCTTCATCTACGCCTACACTGACTTCTGCTTCAAGTGCATGGAGGTCGCCCAGGTTTGGCAACAATTCGTCCTTGACCTTGAAAAGTTAGGTTAGTAGGTCAGGTTCTGTATTATTTTTAGTTTGAATTGGTTTATGTGAGTTTGTTGTCTTTGATTGGAGTAAACGAGACGATTAGATTGAGTGATAACAATGGCGGTAGTAGTAAAAACATTTCTTCATCAAACAAATCATCCTTACATCTCTGCCAACGATCAAAAAATTTTATCAAACTATTTACAATTTTCATTGATTCAAATCAGGATTAGGCATTGGCACGATGAATGCAAACAGCAACCCCAGCCTGAGTCGACAGTTGATGTTGAGGAGCGTGCCAAGCATCACCGTCGTCATCAACAGAAAACTCATCAAGTTCAACAAAAACTTTGAGGTCAAGAGTTTCAGGGAGTTCATTAAGGATCTCTTCCCTAAAAATGGTGTTAAACTGGTTGGTTGGTCGGTTGGTCGGTTGGTTGGTTGCCTGGTTAACTGATTGATTAATTTATTGTGTGATTGATTGTTTAATTGACTGAATTGATGGATCAATTGAATGACTGGATTGGTTGATTTGTCAGTCAGTTGGCTGTCATGTTTTGAAATCAAATTTTTAAAATTATTTCACACCGACACAGCTGACAGCTGATTCGCTGACCTCCTTCTTGTTGGACCAATCAGATAGCAAGGTGAAGGTCGTCATGCTTGACAACAGGAAGCAGATGTGTTTGAGGTTCGTCGTGGCCACGTTCGCTTACAAGGAGTTCATCAGCTCTGCCTACCTCAACATCGATAAGTTGGTCATTTATTTTCGTGATGAAGTTTTTAATGACGATGATGATGACGATGGTGATGGCGATGTTGTTGACGTTTTGATGCAGATATTGTTTTAAATTCTTAAAATTCAATGTTATATTGAATCAATCACCGTCATTATCATCGTTATTATCTAAATTTTCTAAAAACAACGTCATCATCACCACTTCATCATCATCACCACTTCATCGTCGTCATCATCATCAGCATTCCCAGGGACCATGCAGTGCAGTCATTCCTACGAAAGCACAAAATAGTGAGAGGCCAGGAGAACATGCTGATATTTAAAGAGGGGGAGGAGCTAGAACCTGTCAATCAATTTACTGTGAGGATGACGACGATGATGATGTTGTTGATGATGATGATGATGATGTAACTGATGTTGACGACGACAAGGATGTTGATGTTGACAGTAGGAACGCTACCTACTCAGAATCCTGAGATCCTGAAAGATTCCAATTCTGAAGATTCAGTAAAAACCGGATCTATGATTATGGAGAATATTTAAGTTGAAAAAAGTTTGAATAAGTACTTTCACAACTAAAAACTGAAGTATAAACACTTCTGAATAAGGCGTTAACCCTTTTCAACGTGCGTGCGTGCGTGTGTAACTAACCGCAGGCAAATTAAGCATCTCTGATCTTGATTTAGAAGTACGTGATACAACGACTCGTTCGGCTGATTCGCAGAGCACCGAATTGGCTTCGTAGATTTTTTCATTCACTCTAATTTAAAACACGAAAAATTCATTTTAGCCTTAATGCTAACAACAAATTGTTGCGAAAATAAAATAAAAACAGTTGAAAAATTGAGAGAAACCTTTTTTGAAGTCGTTTTTGATGACCATTATAGAGAAATGTTCGTTCATCGTTATAGGCGTACAATTATTGAACAAGTCACAGAGCAATTTTGTTTTAATCAATGCATTTGTCGTTAAATTATATTTTTTGGTTTTAATTTATCAATTTTGAATGAAATGAAATAAATTTAGTTCCTGTCCTCTGATTCAGTCTGTTAAAAATGAGGTTGAAGTTGGTTGAGTTCTTCAATCTATTTCTAGCCGATGATAATAGTGATGTTGACGATGATGAAGATGATGACGACGACTATGATTAAGATGACGATGACGACGATAACGAAACAGATGTCTGAAATCAGCCACAAGATGATGAAGGAGATGATTGAATCCAACAAGTTCCCCTTAGTTCCTAGAATAAAAAACAAGCAAACATTCGATCACGTTTGTCCTGTTACTAATCTTAAGAAGTTTGTTCATTTGTTTGTTTGTTCATTTGTTTGTTCATTTGTTTGTTTGTTCATTTGTTTGGTCACCTGTATGTTCATATATAGAGCAACAACGGCATATAAACACTGAACAACAACATGATAACTCCAACGACAGATACTGCATACTACTCCTCCTAAAAGACAGTTCCGATTACGAGAACTTTGCGACGTCATTCCAGCAATATTCCATTAAGAACTTGCAACCAAAGGTGGCATCTAGCAGCAGCAGCGGCGTCGCCATCAACTTCGGCTACCTGTACGCCGATGTGCAAAGTCAACTGGTCTCCATCGTTTCCAATGGTGAAGGACCTGAGGATAATGATAGGAGGAAGGTTTATTAAAGGATGAATGAAGTGCTGATTGATGGAAAAGTATTTCAGTGTATAAATTGATTGACTGAATGAACGATGAAAAAGTGAACGAACGACTGAATAAATGATTGAATGAATGAATGAATGATTGAATGAATGAATGATTGAATGAATGAATGATTGATTGAATGAATGAATGATTGAATGAATGAATGAATGATTGAATGAATGAATGATTGAATGAATGAATGAATGATTGATTGATTGAATGAATGATTGAATGAATGAATGAATGAATGAATGATTGAATGAATGAATGAATGATTGAATGAATGATTGAATGAATGATTGAATGAATGAATGAATGATTGAATAAATGAATGAATGATTGAATGAATGATTGAATGAATGAATGAATGAATGAATGAATGAATGAATGAATGAATGAATGCATTGATGGTTCAAATAAATAATTACTGTCATCAATTTAATTTGTATCAATGTGACACTTCAGATACTGGCGATGCATAGGAGAGCCAATAAAGACACCAGATACACTATACTGCCGGCTGGCTGGAAAAGGGATGTACCAGTTAACAACAACAATAATAATAATAATAACGGTGGTAGTGTTGAGGATGATGGCGGCATTGAAGCTCTTGATAGTTTCGTTGAGAGGTTGTTGTCGCCAGTGGCGTCGTCGTCGAGCTTGTGGAAGTGGACTTGGAAGCAACAGATCGATGTCGCCGATGAGTCATCTGAGGTTGTTGTTGTCGATGATGATGATGACGATGATGCCTTGATGATGTCATAATTGATGAATAATGATGAGGATGATGATGTGATGATGATACAATTGAATGATTGAAGGGTATCATAATGAGATACGTGTACATGTGCATTGAGTTCATTCAAGATGGTTGGGACTATATCACTGTGCATATCAGGTTGGTCGATTGACTGGCTGCTGGCTGGCTGGCTGAATAATTAATTGACTGATTGGTTGTTTGATTCGTTCGTTCATTCATTCATTCATTCTCATCCCCCAGCCAAGATGAGATGATGATAGTGATGTTCATGATGACTGCCGTCTTCGTGATCTCAGTCATCCTGATAACGAAGGTCATGTCGACGCTTGGGGGTTCCGGCCGAAACAACCAAAGATATAAATATCGACAAGATAACACTCGGAAGTGGGACGACGTTAACAAACATAATAACAAAAATAATAATGATAATTATAACTTTGGCAGTACAAATGATCGTAATAATGTTAGTAATAATAATAATGATGGCGGTCGTAGCAGTCCTGGTGATGATGAAAACTCGAGTAGCAAGAATTATATGAAGTTCGTTTTTAGCTATTTGTTTTCATTCTGTAGCTGCGATTGAAAGTTGACAAGTGTTTAAATGGCGGCTATGAACAATTTTCAAAGTACTCTCAATGTGTTTTTCAGCTTTTTCATTGCTTTCACCATTTATTTGGCGCTTTTTTTATATTATCTCATTGTATTTTATATCCGCTCATCTCTACACCAATCACCATAGCAACCATCACAACCACCATAGCAACCATCACAACCACCATAGCAACCATCAGCATGGAAATAAGGAAGCGGCCATCGAGGAGTTGAATGGATCGAGTTACGAGAGGCTGCTGCTGTCCAGTGGTCGAGGGTGGCGATTGGTTGTTGTGTTTGTCGCGGAAGATGTTACAACAGCCAACCAGAAGAGGTTGTTGGCGAAGTTCAAGGATGTCGTTGCTGCTTATTCTAGGTTGGTTGTTGTTGTTGATGTGTCTAATGATTATGTATGCCGATGATGTTTTCGTGTTGTTGCTGCTGCTGCTGCTGCTGCTCTATGTTCTTTGGTTTTCTGTTGTTTCTCATCATCATCATTCATAATCTCAGCATCGTCGTCATCATCTTCTTCCTCGTTCACCATCATCATCATCTTTTTTATTGTCATCACCATCATCTCCCTCCAACTTTCCAATCACTCGACAGCCCACACTACAGGTTCAAATTCTCTTACCTCCGCCTCACACGACCGCACATCTCCTGGTGCATGAAGATTGCCGGAAGTGACGTCATCCCGGAAAACCAAATTCTGGAATTCCCTCACCGGACCGTCGAACTCCTTCTCTCCGGAATGGTGTTTGTTTTGAATGCCTGGCAGAAATGTTATCACGTGTTCTGGTCGGCTGGCCGTTCTTTTGCTGCTACTACCAATGATGATGTTGGTGACGTCAGCGCGGCTGGCTTTTTAGGATTCCAAAACGATGGTGACAGTGAAGATGACGCCGACGACGACGATGGTGGTGATAGTTTGAGGAAGCAGTTGAACGGCAGGCTGGCGAAGTTGGAACATTTTGTGAACGCCGGGGACGATGGCAGAGGCGATTGTCTGAAATACGACTTTCTTCATAATTTCGATATCTGGCTGGAGAAATTATGCGAGGGAACCTGCCCCAAATATCGCGTGTCTGATTGGCCCGAACGAATGACATAGTTAATTTTTATTGGCCGGTTTTTTGTGAACAAATTAATTTGTTTAGTCTTCTATTATTTCTGTCTTCGATGATTTACTAATCATCGAGTTAAAAGTTAGTTATTTATTGTTCTAATGTATATTCATTGATTGGTTGATTGATTGAGTGGCATTTTAATAATTCGTTGGTTGATTAATGAATTGTTTCTATAAAAATGTAACATTGTTCTGTCTGATATAAAACTGTTGTACAATCTCTTTATTAGTTTATTTCTTTGTTTATTTCTTTGTTCATTGCACATAATTTAAATTATTTAAATGTTAATTCATTCATTTTAAATCTCCTCTCAGTTATTCATTCATTCACTCACTCATTCACTCATTCATCCATTCACCGTTTATTTGTGTGCGTGCTTGTGTGTGTGATGTTCGTCTCGATTGAAATACATATGTTGTACATAATCACAAAACAATGCAAAATAACTTTCTGGTATTTGTATTAATTACTCAATTTATACCCAATGTATTGTACTGTACTGATACTTATTTGTATATATATATATATATATATAGAGAGAGAGAGAGAGAGAAAGAAAGAGAGAGAGAGAAGAGAGAGGGATATTCTTAAACTTATAATATTTATAAATTTCTATTTAACTAATCGTTAAATTATTTTATAATTATAATTTATTATTATTATGATTTTTCTAGTTATAATTATTGAATTTGTAAACTTTCCCAATTTGTGATTGATTAATGGATTGAAATAATAAATAAATATTTATTTGATGAATGATTGAAGCTGATAAGAACATCTGTTACTCTTCTTATTATTATTAATTATTCAATCACCAATAAAATAATTATTACATCAAGTTAAGTTACTAAATACATTTATATAGTTAGTAAATGGGATTGCATATGAGATGTGTTTGTGTGTGTGTGAATGGATAAAAATTCTCCCGCAAAAAATTGAACACAAAATGATAAATTTTTATAAATATTATGCGACGATGTTTTGAAACAAATTCACCAGCTAGCCCTTGAAACGTTATTTAATTTATTATTTATAAACCATGATCATAATTAATATTAATTATAACTAATCCCCAATTAAAATGATCAGTAAGAGGGATATGCCAGTGAATGTACACCAGTCAGCCAATAGTGCATTTCTTCCTAACACTCATCCATAGTTACGTAATCATTTAACGAACGTTTACCTGCGATGAAGATTTAATGATGTTTAATGACAGTTTAATAAGAATTTTACTACACTTAGCCCCGTGCAATCGGAGTTTAGTTCCATTTAGTCAGAGTATAAGTACTTTAAAGTCTACTTGTGCATCATCAAACGGTAAGTATGTGATGTTGATGTGGATTGACGATTAATTATATTGAAATTTATTAGCCACTTAATTATTTTACCGGAAATCCGGACACAAATTTGAATCTTTGAAGTCCGACCCGGGAACGATTTGTGATTTTTCTTCCAGTAGCAAGTCGTAGGAACCGTCGTTTGGTAAGTCGTATTCAGAAGCTTTCTTCGGGTCCATGGCGTGTTTCTTCATTTATTCATTCATTCGTTCGTTCAATTAGTCAATCAACTATGTAAATAACCAATCATTTGTTCATTTATTCATTCATTCGTTCGTTCAAACAATCAATCATCTATTCATATAATCTCATAACCGCTTGTTAAGCGTTAAGCAACAAATCGTTCGCATTTTCATCAATAGTTCAATTGATCAGTGATTCTATCATTCAATCAATCAATCAACCATATAATTGATCAGTGATTCAATCATTCAATCAATCAATCAACCATATAATTGATCAGTGATTCAATCATTCAATCAATCAACCATTCATTCAATGTTAATCAATTAATCAATGCACCAATCGATGAAAACTGACCCTTATAAAGCCTACGATGGCAACCTCATCGTAATTATTGAATTCATATTTGCAGGAATACGTAAGCAGGGCGAATGGCTGTCAATTGTGAAGTTCATAATAATAAATTGGAATGAAACACCGATGGTGTGATGACTTAGATGCCTGGCGCTGTTGTTTCGATGACTCAGTTCGAACTCTTTTGAGAATGCCAAAGACGAATTTCAAAACACAAACTACGATTATAATATATATATATATATATCATTTATTTATGACTATAAAATGAAGTTTGATGAAATATGAACAGACGAAATTAGGATGTGGAAGCCGGTAGGGAGTGATGACGAATTTCCTCATGCAACTCTTCAGTCTGTTGGCGACTTGATCCCTCAACGTCTTATCAGAACATGGGTGGTACAAAAATGCGACTGCTCCATGCTGATAATGATGATGTTGTTGTTGTGGATGATGCTGATAATGATGATATTGCTGTTGTTGATGATGCTGATAATGATGCTGATAATGATGATGTTGTTGTTGTTGTAGATGATGCTGATAATGATGATGTTGTTGTTGTTGTAGATGATGCTGATAATGATGATGTTTTTTGAAGAATATATACAGAAATCAAAAAGTTACTTCTAGAGAGTGTACCCATCTCTGAGGTGGCAAGTAAGTGTACGTTCCATACGTCGGCCATTTTGGGCGGTGGGGTCCACTGATTATGATTATGACGTTGTTGTTGTGGTTGTTGTTGATGATGAGAAAACAAATAATAATCATGATAATAATAATAATATATGCAAAAAAATACCCCCGTGGTGGATCGTCGGTATAGGTTATGGTCCTATCCATGCATGTGTGTATGGGCTGTTGTTTGTTGAATAAATTATGCTAATCAGTTAATGTTTAAAGAATTAACCGAAAACATTGTATTTGGAAAGATTTAGTGATAAAGAGATAACTAAAATCATTAACTCACATCTGGGACCTCATGTAGTTCAAGACATGATACCCTCTGTGGTGAGATATTTGTCTTATATATAGATTTATATATAGTTATGTAGAGTTATTGATCATATATAGTTATATAGCTTTATATACGGCTATATAGATTTATATATAGTTATGTAGAGTTAGTGATCATATATAGTTATATAGTTTTATATACGGTTATATAGATTTATATATAGTTATACGTCTTGGGCATGACATAAAACTGCATCCACACTGCCTTGCGCGCTTTTGAGCAAAAGGCTAGGCCCACCGCTTATAACTGGTGGTTGTCGTCAGGATGGGTGTCCGGATGTAAAAATTTTTCCCCCAAATTATTATTCTAATTTTATTAAATTATATTAAAAATGACATTTTATTATTATTCTAATTTTATTAAATTATATTAAAAAATGACATTTTTGAATCAGAATAGAAAGAAAACTGTTCACCTAGACTGCAGTTTTTGAAGGTTTTGTGGCGTAAAATGTTGAAATCACAAACATCTATTAGCAACACATCCTCACTTAGATAGAATTACCAACGCAGTGTAATTATTTCTACGGTACAAATTCTAAAAACTTACCCCGCCAACTTCATCAGAATTTTCTGTTAGGTCGCCAAAAACGTCTTCACTTGTACATTCGTATGCTGAATCGTCAGGTGGTAGATCAACCATAATATTTCTCTGTGTGTGTGTGTTTGTTTGTGTCTGTGTGTGTTTGTTGGTGTGTGTGTTGCTGAGAGTATGATATTTATATAACAATATTCGAATTAGATCAATAATGTTCATATTAATACACAACACACAAACACATTCTCTGAACATAAAACAATCGATTACTACAAAAAAAAATTTGAAAAAAATTAATTGGCTTTATCAACATATTAACAACTACAGCATCATCAACAATAACTTTACACCATCACCATCATCACCATCATCATCATTATCATCATCATCATCATCATCATCATCATCATAACCTTCCCATCATCACAGGTCACATCTTCCGTGTACATGCTAATGTTTCCGTGATTAACTTCCAGCCTACCCTCTGACGTCATCGTCGTAACCATGGCAACAACAACAACAATCATTGTGGTGATGTTTTGGAACTGTGAAAACTGTGAAAAAATTGTGAAAAATGAATATTTCTACACTAGTAGTTGTCGATAATTAAAACAACCAACATTTCATTTGATCAACCAACACTTCATTTGTCAATTGTATTTCTGCAATTACTTACGTACGTACATACGCACATACGTGTTATGCTGGAAGAAAAAAGAATGTGAATATTCTAAATAGTTTACAGGCGAGGCTGAATGAATACACGTAGAACTTCCGATAACTCAACACTCCCAGACTCGGCTTAACGTGTGACTTGTCGATATACAGCTCGCATCGTGATGTGCCGATTTGATATTAGCACGCCTGCCTAAACAATTTTTCGGTATAAAAAGAGGTGATTTCAATTGAAATCACGCGCCGAATTGTTTGCTCAGCAAGAGACATCCAACTGATCACTGGATGATGTGATCCTGGCTCTCTCCATCTCCTCTCTCTCTCTCTCTCTCTCTCTCTCTCTCTCTCTCTCTCTCTCTCTCTCTCTCTCTCTCGTGTCAGGAAGTTAAAGAACCTTAAAGGACCGAAACACTCGTTGACATACATACACACATACTTGCATACATACACACATACATGCATACATACACATATACATGCATAATATACTGGCACACACATACATACAAACATGCAGTTCGTAATTAATTTTGAAATGGTAATTGCTGTGTAGATATTTTGTTGATTTTGTCGTTATTAATTGCTCTGTTGAGGATGTGCGGGCTTTAATGGCGACTATAATAATATTTTAAATAATAGTATCATTAATTATGACAATAATAATAATAATAATAATAACGGTAATGATGTAATGTAAAATAAAGATTAACGAAGATGATGTGATTATGATCAATTATCCAAACCATCAACTATAAATATAACTTTTTTATGTAGTTTAGATAAAATTTTATGTATAAACGGTATTATTATCACTATTATTCATTTATAAAAATTACCACTTAATTCAATTCGGATATAATTCTTAAAAATCCAAAACAAATCAAATTTAAATTATTAAAATATTTACACAACTAACGCGGAAAAACATTACCATATGTCGAATGCCGATGTATAATTTTACACTAAATACAAATTATATTTTATTATTACTTTTTTTAAATTATTGATTGATTTATTGTTGTTGGTTTAGCTGAAACGCATCATACAATGTTGACTGATCGTTTGATACAATGGTAATTGCTGCCTTTCTTGTTTGGATGTATTGAATGCAGATTTTATACCAAATTTATATATATACATATATATACATATATATATATATAAAACATACATACATACATACATACGTACATACATACATACATGCATACATACATGCATACATACATACATACATACATACATACATACATACATACATACATACATACATACATACATACATACATACATACATACATACATACATACATACATACATACATACATACATGCCTTAATACATGCAGATACACAAACATATGTCAAACATGCAATCGAAAAAACGCTTAAATGCGACGTACGAAAATTCATTTCATCATGTTCCTCCCACTGAAGAAACATACATGACATGTGCACTGTACATACATGCATACACACACACATACAAACATACATACAAACAAACATACATACACACATACTTTGCTTGAAGATGTCAATTTCATTTCCAACAAAGAAGCTTCTACAGGTCTAGCTCGGAACCACAAAATGTTTTTTAATAGAGCAGAACCAGTAAGCTCAATGCATCCAATTGAAAAACTCCCCACGGGAGATGCGAAATTTTTGGGATCAATTGTTTATCCAGGTGATGCTTAATGCAAATTGTTTCTGGATAAACTTGCAAAATTTGAATTCACTTCTAAACATAACGCACTAACCCTCACGCTACAAGCTGCCTACCTGCCTCGTTTCATTTATTTTCGCAGGACCTCTCCGGGCCATGAAAGGTTAATTTTACAAAAGTTTGACCTTTGTCCCCGCAGTGGTTTCGAAAATATTTCCAACGTAGCCGTAGTCAACAAGAGTTGGCTCCAAGCAATACTGCCAATTTGTCAAGGGTGTTTGGGGTTAGGACCGTGGTTGAGCTGGCGCCTTCTGCTTTTTAAGCTGATGCCGCCGCCACGGTTTCCTTACAAAACTCAATGCTGCCTAACGATAAGAATGATTTCCTGGTTTGCTGCTTCCAGAAAGCTGCTATATCGGTGGTAAAAGATCCGGTAGGCCTGATTGCGGATGGTGGAAACTTTAGACCTGACAGTCACCCAAGTTTTCCATGGGCTATGAGACGTTCGCTGGCCTGGGATGTGACGTTTCATCACACGATGGCCAAAAGATACATCTCATTCACATCGGTTGAGGCAGGTACCGCGCCAACAAATTTCTATACAGGCAAACATCATCTTATTTACGTAACATGTTGTTAGTTTATTATTCAATAAAATATTATACTTTAAAAATTGACTTATAAATTCACATAAAGAGTTTTTACGGTTTAAAACGACAAAACAAACGAATCCAAATAAAAATTATACCTATAACTATAGACCAACATCAGAAAATAATTATTATAAGCAAGTTTATTGTAATTTTTTTGTTTATTTGCTTGCCTGTTTGTGTGAATGCACTCATAAGTTGGGGCTCATGTAGAATTTCACCAAAAGCATGCACCTTCATCACGCCATCATCTTTTATTCATGGTTTTTTAATGCCCGTTTCTGACATTTTGTCTAATGGAATCGTGATGCATGAATGCTATGATAAAAAAATGATAATTTAAATTAAATTAACTTAAAATATTTGAGCGTCAAGATTAAACTCTTAGTCTTCAGCAACACTTTTTGCAGCTACGTTTTGAATGTACTGAGGAATCAATATGGATCAAGGGGAGGCCTATTTACCATTAAACAACACTTTCTTATGTGTTGAAGCAGGGATATGCAAAGAATCTCAATTTTTGCAACTTTTAATTATTTTCGGTAATGTCGATTTTATTTGTTTAAATTTATACCAAATAAAAGTAATTAATTACCATATTGAATAACAATTTAAAAAAATAAAATTTTAACATTTTAAATAAAAACAATATTCCGTAATTAGTAAAGTATCGTAACTTTTGACTCGAAAGATAAAAAATCACCCTCCAACTCCCCTCCAGAAGAAAGCTCCTTGTTCAACCGTTGAAAGTGAGCGAAGGCCGTAATATTTATTCTAGTTATATGTATCAAACAGTATCTTATTGAGCAAAATAGTATCATAAAATGAATAAAGATAAATAATTCTCAATTTGATTTCATTGCGATATCGATGATGATTATGATGATTGTGACCTGACTAATTAAAAAACATCAAATAAAATTTATAAAATAGGATGGGTATATCGTTGAGAAATCGTTGGGGGAAATGTGGTCATGTTAACAGTAGTTATTTCACTAGATGGCAGTTGATCAGCCTGTATAAAGGTTATATTCAATTTCTATCAAATAAATTTAACCAAATATCATACGCAGGCAAAACAAAATAAAGAAATATATATATATATATATATATATATATATACGTAGTTATAATACATTTATAATATTGTATTTACACATTCAAATTGTACAATTGTGTTATGTGTAGTTTCAAATTATTTTGAATTCTCTCGGAAAAATTTAAACTTTTTACTATATATATATATATATATATATATATATATATATATATATATATATATATGTTTAGGTTACTTTTATCAACAATTATTAAAAAATTTTCAATTTGATTTCACCGCGATATCGATGATGATGATTTTGACCTGACTGATTAAAAAGCATCAATGAAAATTTTTAAAATAGGATGGAAAATTTGTTATATTGGGATATTCGTATATAAAGCGAGCAAAAGTTTAATATAAAAGTGCTTATAAATTTACGCATATTGGATCAGCTTGGCTTGGTCGTCTTGAAATTGGATGTTAAGCTAGGTGTGGTCTCAAACAATTTGGAATTCTCTCAGAAAAATTTGAACTGCGTGCGCACATATGTAGCACTGATTACTGTTGCTTCAATAATAAATTTATATACTATATATATAAAGCGAGCAAAATTTTAATAGAAAAGCGCTTATAAATCTACGCATATTTAACAAGATTATATGTTGGTTTAAAAAGCAATATAGCAGATTCAACCAGCCAATCAGAAAGTTACGAAGGCGTTCGTTCGATGACGTCAATTTAGTACGGTTAGCATTGTGGTTAAGACTGTATAATAGTGTAGTTCATACATTAAATAAGTTTTTTACTGATGTGAATGATTGAAATGATGGAAATGTATGGTTGAAACGAGTATAAATAGGAGCTGAGACAACATGAAAATCAGATCAGGCATTCTGCCTCGCTTGAAGCAGTCTGTCTGATCTCGTTTATTTTATTTTTATAATTTATTTATTTTTATTTATTTTATTATATAGAGTTATATTATATAGAGTTATATAGAGTTTGCATGTCTGTGGTTTGTATGTTGTATTTTTTATATTTTAGGTGGGTTCTTTAGCGGTTGCTCATACATACATACATACATCATGTTTGTTTGTGTGGTAGTATTTTATGTTCTGTTTTACTCCATTTTATCTTTCTTCATGAGTCTTGAGTTAAGTTAATGAAGCATAGGTAGGTGAGGTAAAAATTAATTTATTATATTGGTAGGCTAGGGCATAAGGTAATTTAGTTACATAGGTAGGTTAGGAACTTCTATTCTTTTACTCTACTTTGTGGTGTGTTTTTTGTTTTTTTTTGTTTTTTTTCACACCATACATACAACAGGTACGCGGTGGTTCCAGGTTTAAGTGAAATTTTTATTGATTGAATGTGGTAGTATGCATGGTTATATAGAGTTATATAGAGTTATATAGAGTTATATAGAGTTATATAGAGTTATATAGAGTTATATAGAGTTATATAGAGTTATATAGAGTTATATAGAGTTATATAGAGTTATATAGAGTTATATAGAGTTATATAGAGTTATATAGAGTTATATAGAGTTATATAGAGTTATATAGAGTTATATAGAGTTATATAGAGTTATATAGAGTTATATAGAGTTATATAGAGTTATATAGAGTTATATAGAGTTATATAGAGTTATATAGAGTTATATAGAGTTATATAGAGTTATATAGAGTTATATAGAGTTATATAGAGTTATATAGAGTTATATAGAGTTATATAGAGTTATATAGAGTTATATAGAGTTATATAGAGTTATATAGAGTTATATAGAGTTATATAGAGTTATATAGAGCATAAATCCTATATAGATACCTTTCTTTGCTCTTCTTTTCTCTTTTCTTTGCCGACCGGTCGGTTTCTTTGCGGTTATTTTTATTTAAATTGAATAAATAAGATTTTACCATTCATTTAGGTTTTTCAGGTTCATTTATCCAGGTTGAAGCATCCAGAGGAGTTCATCGTGGACGATCAGAATCGTTGTGATGTCACGCTACGTTCGTTCATTCCATGGCAAAGAATGCACGTCCTGCTGGGGTACGTTTTACGGTTTCTTTGCGGTTCTTTTGTTTGCAAGTTGGCTGGCTTTTCCGACGGGTTTCACCGCGGCTCGTTTTTCTATTTTCATTTAAATTAGTCAAATAAATAAGATTTTTCCATTTCTTCCATTTTATTCAGGTTGAAGCTTCCAAAGGAATTCATCGTGGAGGATGTCAGGCTACGTTCGTTCATTCAGTGGCAAAGAACACACGCCTGGCCGGGATACGTTTTATTCTTTTTTCTCTGTTTTTCTATGTAATTTAACATTAAGTAAGAATGCTTACACGCACACACACACACACACACACACACACACACACACAAATACATTAAGTAGCTATATAGGTAGGTTAGATAGGCATAATTTTAATTGTAGGTAGGATAGATAAGAAGCATCCAACACTAATGTAGTTGAATAGGTAGGCGTGTAAGTTTATCGCTTCTATTTTTTCTTGCACCAACATTACACGCGTCAGCGTATTACACACACACACAAATACATACATAAACACATATGTTAGTATTTGAGCGTAATTTTATTTTCATTACACATTCTAATTTATTATTACTAAGGTTGAGAGTAATTTAATTTTATAGGTAATTAAGGGCAATAATGTAATTCTAGGAACAATCTTGTAATGTAAATTAAAACGCCGTAAGTGTATCGATAGGTAGGCTAATATAAGTTTTACATTATTATTATTATGTTGGAGCCCAAGGCATTACGTAGGTGGTGGGGTGGGCGCCGATTGGCTAAATGAATTGGGCTCTTGAGTTTTGTAATTTTAAGTAAGCTAGGACCGTAATGTAATGAATAGGTAGGTTAAGGCTACGTTGTAACACATACTCATTAATAGATTTAGGGTTTAAGTTTTATATTATTATTACTAAGTTGGAGCCCAAGGCATTACGTAGGTGGTGGGGTGGGTGCCGATTGGCTAAATGAATTGGGCTCTTGAGTTTTGTAATTTTAAGTAAGCTAGGGCTTAATTGTAATGAATAGGTAAGTTGAGGGTACGATAGCCGATTGACTCTGGATTTCAAAGTCTCTTGTCAGAGGTAAGCCTTGGTGGCCAGTGGTGAACCGGCAATGGTTTACTATCCGGACGGCAATGGTTTACTATCTGCACGGTAATGATTTACCATGCGGCATGGCCATAGTCTACTACCCGCACGGCTTCCGGACGGCAAATGGTTTACTATCCGCACGGCAATAGTCTACTATCCGCACGGCAATGGTTTACTATCCGGTGCCCTGGCTGTCGGTGAGCCTCTGTGCAAGGAGGGAGAAGGAAGGGGGACTTTCGACTATCGTACCATTAACAATTTAATATAGATTAGTTAAGGTAATTGAATAGGTAGATAGGATTATTTTTATTAAACATTTTGAGATGCAGGCACCGCTAAGCTTTCTGATGAGAATCTACTCTTTCTCTATCTTTCTCCATCAACACGGGCTGTGTTTCAACAACAATCTCGATGAGGACTGGCACCAGTTTTGGAGGACAACGTAGGAACCGAGCCGCATTCAACATTCTGCCTTTGTCGAATGGACGACGGTAAGTTTTTTTTACATTTTAATCACTTTATTATTTTAAAATAATGTTTATTTGCCATTGTTTCTATTTTATAATTTTTTTGCTCCTAAGATTCTAACATTCATTTACTACTACGCTAATAAAAAAAATTTGTCTACAGGATGATGAAAGGTGGGCAGTGGTGGGAGTCAGCACGTTTCAGATGGTTGTCTCATGATGATTTACGTATGATGATGGTGGTGTAGGAAGAATCAGCGCGTTGGCTGTTCGACTGACAATCAGAAGTTCGGATGAAATCATCATGTGTGCCGACCAGATGATGGTGGTCGGTGCAATGAAGTACTGTAACGACGATTTTTGAAGTAAGGTTTAGTAGTTTCGTCTTTTAATTTTTCTCATTGATTGATTGATTCATTCATTCATTCATTCATTTTATCACTCAATCTTTCAAATTATTTTTCCATTAAATTTTTTTAATCATTGAATCATTAATTAATTCATTGACTCTTGACTCACTCAGGCATTCAACATTCTGCCTTTGTCGAATGGACGAAAGTAAATTTTTTTTACATTTTACTCTCTTTATTATTTTAAAATATTGTTTATTTGCCATTATTTTCATTTTATAATTTTTTTCTTCTAAGATTCTAACATTCATTTATTACTAGGCTAATAAAAAAAATTTGTCTGCAGAATGATGAGAGGTGGGTTGTGGCGGGCGTCAGCACGTTTCACATGGTCGTCTCATGATGATCGTTCCGATGACAATTCTAAGATGACAATAAGAAGTTTCTGGAGAGTACACGCGCGCACATTTACGCACATACATCAATACAACACACACATACACAACATCCATTCATTCGGTGTCGTTGTTATGTTTCTCTTCAACTTTCTATTTTCTTTACCGGACTTAATTTTATTCATAGGTAAGTTAGGGATTGAGATTAATTGAACAATCGTAGGTAGGCTAGGGCTTAACATTAGTTAAAAAGTTTCAAGTAAAATAAAAACGCTGAAATATGTAAAATAAAATACCTAAAACATGTAAAATTCCAAAAACGTAGAAAAACATATTTGTAGGTAGGTGAGTTGAGTTAATGATTATAAGTAAGCTAGGGCCCTGAGAGTAATTTAATTGTAGGTAGGTGACTGACTACTATTCTTGCGACTTTTTACTAGTTTTTTGTGATGTGTTTGTTTTCGCTTCACAGCCCCACACCAACAAAACAAACTACATTTTATTCTCGTCGTCTTTTTAATGTCTATTTATTTATTTAATTATTTATTAAATGTTGACTGGTTTCTAGTTTTTTTAATTTGGTTATATAATTTTTGGATATTTCTTGATTTAATAAAAGCAACTATTGTGTTTTTCTTTCTTTACTAAAATCTCGAAATTGTTTGTAGATCTGTACAGTTAAGTGTTTGTTCGAGTTTGAACAAGCCTTGCAAATATTTTTCAAATATGGTTCATTGATTGGTTGGTTGATTAGTTGATTGAATGAATGGTTGGTTGATTGATTGGTTGATTGATTGATTGATTTCATAGTATTTTATATATGAAAAAAAAATCCGATTAAGCCAACATACGGCTTTACTTGTCCACTGTATTTTACCAGACAAAAGCAATTTCTTTATTTATATTGACAAAAATAATTGTGAAATGAAGGGTGATTTGTAGAAAAGACGTTGCAATAATCCATTTGTATCAAAATAAATAATGTTTTTGATAAGTAAATAATGAATTTTACACTATATCAGAGCCAAATTGATGTTTTATTGGAAATGTTCAGTAATAACTCTTTTTTTATAGCGCCATTTATACTCATTAAACTTAATTAAAACTTAAATTCCTTTTTAAGTTCATTTACTGCGAGTTTACGATGGCTACCTTGACGATATACTCGAAGTCTGATAAAATATCTTACAAATCTAGTTTTTTCTCCGTAACTTCATTTTTATCTTTTTTAATATTTGTCCTAACTTGGGTGCTGCCTTTTATCATTGTTTACCATACGTCTGGTTTGTATTTTTTAACTCTTTAATTCACAAGATATTCATTTTTAAATTTAATTAAATTAAATTTTTATTTTCCATCATTCATTTTTTAATTAGAAGTATAAAATTATTAAAATTATGAATTCATAACCTAACATCACTTCATCAATGTTGTAATCAATTTTAGTGAAATGATCAGATTCAGATATAATACCAATTACAAAATAAAATTAATTAATTTCATTTTGTTTTTTCCAATTCCCACTGAACTGGGCTGAGCTTGAAAATTAATTTGCTGTTTTTTATATTTCTTAAATATATCAAATTAAAATAAAGGTATATATTTCTTTCTTAGATCATTTTATTTATTTTGCTCATGAATTATTAAACTATCATCATAATGATTATCATCAGGTTTTTTGTTGTATCTTACTGAGAAACATGATGAGAAGCCATTGATAACTTTTAAACATCAAATGATAATGGAAGCCACACTGAAAGATGATGGGAAGTATGTTTACTGGAGCACATATGAAAAATGTAATGTTTTATTCAGGAATTATCTTAGGATTCCAACAGCAAAGGTTTGGGTGATTTTTAAATAAATTTTGAGTTTGATTCTGTCTGATTTATGATAAATTAATTAATTTACTTTGGTAGACAATGGAGTTAACTGCAAATGATGTAATTGGTGAATCAGAGAATGGTTTACAACTGAATATCAACCTTCCATTAGCCGAGGCTGAAACTGTTTTCGACTTCAAAATTCTCTTATTCATTAATTATAGACTGCAAGTTAGTAACCATTTTCAAATATTCCTATATAGTTCTATACTTCATCTTCAATTTTAATTATTGATGGCCAATTTATGAATAAGTCAACAACAAAACAGAATGTGCCTTATGAGATGATGGGTGTGTTGTACTTACAAGCTGAGCCACAGATCATGTCTTCTAACATCAAAGTCAACATCAATGCGAACTTCAATTTGATTCAATATGAACCACTGCCATCAACTGTCAATTACCATTATATAAATGCAAGTTGTTTCAATTTTGTTCTCTATTTTTATGTTTTTAAAATTAATTTTTTAAGATAACTTTATATTTGATTTTTTTCTTCAAGTTGGATCATGTTGGTTCTTCTGCTGTCAACTGTGACGTCTTCAACTTATTACAAAATTATACAAAACAACCAAGTATTCATTTTTCCATTCATTAATTCATTTGTTCATTCATTCAGTTGTTCATTCACCTATACATTCATTCCTTCTTTTATTATTCACTTATTTATTAAAGGTTCAACTTGTCCCAACTTTTGGTACAGTAGTTAGTTATAATGTACAATAGTTCAACTTAATTTAGCTTCATATTTTCATGCCCAACCAAACCACACACGCACGCACACACACACATACGCACACACACCACACACAAATTCACACAAAGTTAGAACAGATTTGGATATAGTCAGCATGACTGAAGAGATTAGGCCAACCAACAAAGATATAAATGATGATAATAGGATGTTGTCACCATCATTTCATCTGAATGCTCTCATAAATTACAATCAACAACAGTTCAAGATGATGTTAGTTCTTACCTCTTTTTGCATTTCATGAAATTTGACGTCTAATTTTCATTGAAATATGTCATTGACGGTATGAACTGTTGCTATTTAAAAATTTTTGATGTAGACTTCTCTTCATTTGGCAGATTTGAAAGGAAGTTCGCTTCAATATTCAGATGGGCCTACATTCAGTTCATTTATTTATTCCTTTTGTTTCACGTCGTTTCTTCTAGTTTTTGTTGCTATATATTTCATAATCAGTTAGTTCATTCTATTAAATGTTTATAGCTTTATCGTACGATTGTGGAGGTGGCGTTGTATTGTATTGTAGATCGGTTCTCGTCGATAGTGCGTGATTGAAATATTTTAAGTCGAAAAAGTTGGCGCTACACGGCTTATCGTTGTTACTATGGTGACGTTTGTTTATTTTAAATAGTTATGGCACCTGTAAAGGTGTTCGAGGAAGTTAAAACGATAAAATATTTGAATTTTTTATTTTCTTGGACGTTCGTTGTTGCGCTGTCGAGAATCTTGTTGCTGGTTGTCGTGGCTGGCGTTATTGCTGACAGGACTAAAGGTTCTTGATCTTTCACTATCTACTATAATTTTTATTTCAATCTCATGATTCTCGCTTAGCTAGACTACTAGATTGCCAAATTGTCTTGCCATTTCATTAACTTCTCGACTGTAACTAACCAGAAATATTAACGTTTAATAGTATTTGTGCGATAGACATTGATTAAATTGAAGATATTATTCTTTACTGACTTCTTGTGCAGGTTTATGGAGATCTGTAAGAACAGAAGGTAGCAAGTTGAACATAACTTACAGAAAAGAGTATGTAGTTAACTTCACCACAAACAGTGGAAGTTATTTCACCTACAGTACGAGTCCTTCCTACAATGACAAACATCAGAGCAATTTAAGGATTCCTCTTATAAAGGTCTGTCTGTTGAAAATATTTTCAATAATTTTTCATTTTAAAATGAGCTCGTTAAAACTTGGAGTTTAATTTTCAGCTTAAGACAAAAAAAACTTGTTCGTTGCAGATTTTTGAGGAGGACATAGATGAAGATGGTTTAACAGACAATTTAAACTTTGAACTTACCATACCAATACTCAGTGGTGAACATGTCATGTCAGCTGATCTCATAATCTTCATCAACTACACAATAATGGTACATTTTTTAAGATCCAAATTTTTAATACGTTTTTATAGTCATTTATTGATTGGATAAAAGTTTGTGGAAATTTCAAAACTGATTAAATCAGTAGAGGTAATAATTGTGAAACAGTTAATGCCAAGCAAAGAACTTCCAGGTTTGGTGAGGGCAGTGTCGTGGAGGCTAAACAGCAACCACAACAACACAATAAACATCAACAAGCTTCATGTAACCGGCAGAACGAAACTCATTCAGAGGGAACCACTGACAACACAGAAATATTTTGAGCAGCCAACCATTGATTCTCAAGTACATCCTTTTTGTTATATATTACGTACTTTTAAATTTTCATTTTGTGTTGTTTAGTTGGTAAATCATTTTTTTTTTATTATTCTAGAGGAACTCAAATGATTGGCTGAATATCAGCGGCCTCAGCAACCAATCACTATTCGAAGTACTCGTGAAATACACCAATCAAAACTGTTTGTCCTTATTACATTACTTTACATGAATATATTACACGAACTTTGATTGCATGATGTTCATGTGAAAAACATTTTGTTGTTTCTTCTGAATATCCAGCACATGTAAGTTTGATTGACGTGACACCAACGTGGATGAGACACGACGGAGCGAGGTCCGATTTCAAAATGAGTCTTCTTATTGGACACCCACATCAACATGAAGTCACGTGGGTTCTCCAATTACTATTCCATTTCATTTGAAAGATTAGACTCGTATTTTCAAATTGATTGATTAAAGTTCTAGCGTAATTTATTTTCGTTCCAGGCTGCACTCGACGTTCTGGCACTCGTTGAAGTGGGCTTTCATACAGTACTCATCGATATTCATCTTCTTATACGTGATCAGTAACGTCATAATGACGTATTTATTTGAAAACAGATTGGTAGATTCAATTATTAAAGATCAATGACGGTGTTTGGAGATAAAAAACAATTTATTAAAAATAATTAAGGACCACGACCATCACTGATAACAGATAAAAGAAGCCAATTCGACAAGAAAATAAATTAAACCTAATCTATTATAAATTCTGATTGAAACCAAAAAAGATAAACCCGATGCAAAAAAAACAAAATTATGCAAACACACATTTACAGCGAACACGCACACACACAGCAAACACATGCATAAAGACAAAAAGATTATAAATGCCTCATCTCAGATGGCACATCATAATGTTCGCGACGAGTGAATCCCTTAGACCCACTGGAAGGTGGATGGGGTTGGCAGTTGGACCCCTGATTGTTTCAACACGTAGTTGGCTGCGTAGTTGCCACCTGCCACGCATTCCTCCAGGGTGCAGTTGCGAGCCAGGCACGACAAGAAACCTGCAATTAGCATTGTCTTAATATCATCTTTATCTTCGTCATCATCATCATCTTAATAATAATTTTCTTCACCATTGTTATGGTCATCATTTTAACCATCATCATCATCATCTCAATCCTAATCGTTATCATAATACCATTATCACCTCCAACAAAAGCATCTCCAGCCCCATTGCTATCAACGATATCTTCTTTATCTATTTTTAGAACTGGGAATTCCCGGACTTGTCCACCTGTGAATTATATATCATTTCTATTATTAGAATCATAATCAGTAGTAGTAGTATCATTTTAATCGTATATCATAGTTGTAGATACATATATCCATATATACACATATCTAACCCAACCCTCTTCGCTGTGTTGTGGGCAGTGTTAACATTGAAAATCAGCGAAACTCAGTTTTTACACAGAACAATCATTATTTTATGTTGAAAATCGAAAGAAAGTGGATGAGTGAATGAAAATTGCACGAATGAGAAAACGGACGAACCAGTGGCGACGATAGTAGGTTGTGAACCGTGTGTGAGAACAACGGTTCTTGGTTTGTTGCAATCTGCTTTTGGCAGGTTGCTAACTGCAAGGGCTATCTCTTTCAAGTCTTTACTCTGTATTGGTTTGTTTGTTTGTTTGTCTCAAGCACGCATGTTTGTGCCTGAATGCATGCTTATGTTTGTATATTTGCATGTTTTTGTGTTTGTGGGCATTTGATGGGAATTTGAAACACGTCAACAAATTATTTATACAACAATGGAATTCGTCGACAAACAAATTGTAAATCTTTACCTCAATGCCATTTTCTTCTGCAAATGTTTCAAATTCCTGAATGGATTGATAGAGAGATGAATGAATTACTGAATAGATGTATTATATAATTCATTCACCAATTTACATTCATTATACAAACACTCTTTATTATTCTCCACAATGCAGCTTTGTCCGACACAGACCTGCTTACCTGTTCTTTTATAACATGATTAAACCATCAGGACACGAAAGCTGTGCTATCCACACGTGCTATATACACATTATGTATGCACGCGCAAGCACCGTGTGCTGGTCTCACATGCATACGTTCATCCATTCATTAATATTTGCGTTAATAATTCATCCATGCAAACTGCATAGAGGAGAAAATATGACAACCGCATTCAACTGAACTCACAGTCTCATTGCCAAAGAGATAATCAGTGTATGGAATGAGGTTCGTGAGGGGTTCTTTAAAGAACTTGCTGAGAAATGGTGCTGAAAGGTTCAGTGCGAATATCTTTGGTGTGTTGCACGCATATTGAGCTAATCTCAACATGGCTTCAGGACAAGCTGTCAATACAAAACCCTGTAAATGTTGGTTGGTTGGATAGATGGATGGATGGATAGATCCATTGATTCAATCAACAAAACATCAAGCCATCGATCCATACAGACAACAGCTCACAGCAGTGTAGATGACTTGAGCCTTCTCAACGACCTTCCACACTTTCTCACTGTCAATGTGTTCCCTGCAGAAATGATTGGCTGCCCCGAGATACGCCACCAGCGACCGCAAACTGCGGGCAAGATGATTGAAACTGTACACCAAACTAATATTACATGCATTCACCGCTCTATTTAAATCATTTGAAAGTTCGCTCATTCATTTGTATATCTATTCATATTCATTCAACTAATACAACATTCATATTTAATTATATATTAATTGATCCATCTGTATCATTAAATATTCTTTTATTCATTCATTTATCCAATATTTATTTATTCATTCTTATCAAACATACAAATTCATTCACTCTCTCTCTTTCTATCTGGACCCCCCTCTCCCTCTCGTGATCTCACTGTTTCTCTTCAGTAATGCACACGGCACACGTTCCAGTCTTCTCTTGCTCTGAATACCTTCAAAAATATTTCAACCCATTCACTAAGAAAGCCAAATAATTTAATCGAAATTAACTGAGAAATTATTTATTAAAGTTATAAACAACTCAAATTAATAATAATTTTAAACATAATATTGAAAAAATAATAAATAAATATTGAAAAAGTTCGAACCGGTATAAGGGCTGGACCCCTTCCTTGTCGATAATCTTCTCGAGAATCTCTCCAAATCTATCCTTACCGATGCAGCCAGTGAATGACGTTGAGTGTTTTATACCCAACATCCACTGTGTGCGAGATGCATTTCATTTCTTCACTCGTTCATTCATTCATATCTAATCATAACTTCGTTTATTTCTTAATACTCATTTGCAAATTGAAAGCACTCTAAAGTTTAAAGAATGCAAATCACTAATCACTAACTTGAGCCACTCTGATAGCATTCTGCGTGGCCCCACCAGGGATGTAACTGACCTCAAACTTTTCAATCATCTTCTCAAATCTATAGACAGAAGACAGTACATAAATAGGAAACAATTTCAAATAAAAACAACAAAGTTTCTTTCAGAAAAAAGGATTTGCATCAAAGAATTACTATTATTCCATTATAAATAAACTGTAAATAATCCAATTAAAACACAAAAAATAATATAATGTTACATTAAATATATATTATAGAGAATAAAATATAGATCTAAATGTATGGATACAGTATTAACATTAATAAATAAATTAAATAATAAATTTTGCTTAACTAACAAATCACTATGTTTCTCATTAGCTAGGATCTGATCATTTTCTTTCAACTCATAACTGTTTTCAAACAAATAATTAACAAATGTTTATAAAAATAAATGATTTTACAATTTATTTGGTTTTAAAATAATTTTGATAAAATATAAAACGACAATAACTGTGAAGCTAGAAAATATTCTATATTTTATTTTTATTTAACTGTTTAACTTCACAAGAAAGATGGTTGACAAGTAAAAAAAAGTTTTATTTATTTGTTAAATTAACATGATTTATCATTCAGTGATGACATAAAAAAATCAATATTAATAATTAATTTATTTATTTATCATTTTATTGTTATAAGTTTGTTTAATTATCATCCAATATTTTATTTATTTAATAATTGATTTTTAACAAACTGTTTAAGGAATTCAGAGTCAACATTTGCTGATATGTCCAAAAGGGGATTGCCTAGTCCAAAAATCATTTCTTCTCTTTTAAAAAATAAAGATTGAGATATTAATTAATTACCCAATAATTAATTATAGACTAATTAATAATTATAGAGTAAAGTTGAGTTATTACTAGATAGAATAGATTATGATATTAGAGATTACTTAGATTAGATTAGCAATTAGTTAGAAAGATACAACATATAAAATAAATAACAGGATAGAGAAGATAGAGGTAGATAGATAGACTAAACTAACAGAATAGCATAGTTGTGTAGAGTAGTTTTTTGTTTAAAATATCAAACAGACATTATAGAATGACCAACCTAACTGACGTCGTCATGTCTTCCCTAATCAAACAAAATAAAGAACAAATAAATAAAATTAACTGATCAACTACTAAACAGGTACAGAGACCAACACGCACCGAATGACAAAGTGAACTTCTATAGTAAATTTCTGAAGAGAAAAATTCATCTAGCTCTTAACATATTAACGTTAATCTGAAATAATTAACCGCAGACGTAACGAGCATTTATTAATTCGCAACTAGACTTCTGGCCGCTTTTTGTTCGAAGCATTCAACAAAACTGACATTTCAATCTAATTTTTATCTGAATCAAGTACTTAAAAACTGAAAACCAGCTAGAATTTATTGAAAAAAGTTAATTGAAACATCAAAAAAGTTGACAATCTATTTACGAATATAAATTAACATAATACTTTAGTGACAGAATGGTTGCCATCAAACAAACAGATCAATAAATGCCTGTTTTTTAAAGTTCATAATAAATATGTTTAAAAATATTCAAATTTGAGTTTATAAAAAAACAAGACAGTGTTGTTCAGTTGACTTACATCCTATCTAGAAAAAATAAATTGCCACTGAATGTATAACATTTGAATGTCAAAACTGAAAGGTTCAAATATTTAAATTAGTACATGCATTTATTCAAATGATTCAGCTGAAATATTGAACGTTCAAAACAGATGGTTAAAACTGCATCGACATTCGTGTGGAAGGTTTCATACAACGTACATCCAGACTACAAAACAACAAGGTCATACACGAAATTACAATTATTGCTGCTGTTCTGAGTTGATGATGCCATTGATGATGGTGTTTTTGGCGATATTGTTGATGTTGTCTGAGGTGGTGCTATCGGAAGCTGTGGGGAAAAGTTATCTTCAAACTTTAATTCACTTTTACCTGAAGGTGGTGGAGCTGTTTTGTCCAGCAATTTTGACATTTTACTACTTTCCTAAGAGAAGAGTGAAATAAATTATGATAATTAAACATTCGAATAGCCATCAAACTTATGGATACTATCACATTTATTTAATTCAGAATGGCAATATTTTAAAAAGTTTCAATAAAATGTTCATGAAGTGAATGAATTGTTTATAAAATATGACAAAGAAACATGTATACATTATAAATACACAACACCATTTTGTCTAATAAATAATAATTTTTAGAGTTAAATAAAAATAACAACTAAACATGCATACTGGTTTTCGTGATGATTTACGTTTTTCATGTTCATTATTTTGCATTTCTTGTGCGAGTTTAAATGATGAGGCTATTGTTAGTGTAATCGTCTGCGACTGCAATGTACGTGTTCAATGGTTCGAATCGTTATCCAAATCATCAACGTTATTGCCATCAATATAATAATTATTAACACTACCATTATCAATTTATTAAATTTAGCAACATTTAAAATTTTTTGATCAATAAAATTTAAATTTCATTGAGAGTAAAATGCTACCATGGAAAAAATGGTCAACAGCATGAACAAATAAATAAATACAAATGATTAACAAATAAATATGAATGAATGATGTTATTATAGAAATGAAAACAGAAATTGTAACAATTTTCCTCTTCTTGCAGCCAAAAGCATGACATTCCATAGTCTCATTATCTGTGTTCCTGGCTATATATGCAAACACTCTACCAAATTTTTTGTTAGCTGTGCAAAAACGTATCCTGCAAAAGATTTTATGTTCTCATCTATAAAACAAAACTTGTTTAAAAGTCTCTTCATTGAAACGGTTAAGACCGTATGAAATAATTAAGATCATTTTCAAAGTGGCTAGCCTGTGAATGTCTAGATTAGAAATGCATCTATGTGTTTGTGCATCAGTCACCATGATTCCTTTCACTGATACCTTCAATTCCACTTTTTTTATTTTGTGTCCTGAGGCAAATGCCTTGAAACAAAGTTAAATTTAGAAACATAAAATGACTTTTAAATGAATTAATAAGCCAAACGAAATAAAAACCAAACTTAGATCTAGTTTACTTTACCAGCTATTTATGTATTTAATTAAAATTTTTATACAGTTAAAGTTTAATAGACTATTCACTATACAGTACTTATACAGTAAATGAATATACAATTTTTATATGACTAACAAATGTAATGATGGCAGTGATAGCTTTGGTCGTTATGGAATCTCCGTAGCTGGCCCCCTCCTCAGTCAATTCTTCAACTAATGTGCTGCCAAAATATCTCACACGAAATGAAATCCCACTTGCAACTTTATCAGGGTCTTTGTAGTCAGGAGGGCTTTCCTCAAGCTCTTCAAATCAAAAGATTACAACAAAATAAATATTAATCTCAAATTTCAATTGAACAAAATTCAAAAGGAACTGACTAACTGTTGTCGTTGTTTTGTCTTCTTGAAGAAAACCCGGACGCAACTGAACCCGACGAAATTATCCTCCTAATCATTTCCATTATGATTAGTTAGGTGGGTTTTTTCACTTTTTCAATTTGCATTTACACATTTGCAATTAATTATTTTTTAATTATAAATTATGAAACGTAATAATTTTGTTATAAAAAGTAAGAAAATGTTTTGTGTGAAGGCAAAACAAATTGGCTAATATTAAAAATTAAATCTAGCAATGTCAAAACATTTAAACACCGCCATCTTTTTATTGACTTTTTAAATTAGACTGATTTTAAATAGTTGATTATAACTAAAATGTATGGACAACCATTAAAAAAATGCAATAAAGATAAGCAAAACTTTTTAGTAAAATCAAATCATGTAATGGAATATTAACGTAGTGTTAAAATAATTTTTATTATTAAAAATTTATAAATATTGTGCCAAATAATTTGTATAGTTGAGTACATTCCTGTTTTACTTCATAAAAAGTTGGAGTGAAAACAAGTCTTCTCCTTTTGCTTATAATTAAACATTTATAGCACAGATGTTATACAATTTCAACTAAACAACACATACGCATCAGCATTGGCCCAGGTTGTTTTTGAACCAGGTTCCCTCAAGACAACATCGTGAGACACATTAAGTACTGACGCTGTGAGCCAACTCATCAGGCAAGCAACAACCTTACAAATTACTAAATTAATTACGTTGACTTCTTGCTACAACTAAAAAATATATATTACCGAATTATTTATTTATGTGTATCATCACTACCAGCACTTCACCTGCCTTCTTAGCATCGAAAGGAACATGCTTGTCCAGTACAAGCCAGTAAAGGAAAGCATTTAGAGACATTAGCAGGCGTGTGATTGGTCGGCTCTGCCTCATTAACAAACATCAATCTAATTTGACTGATTGCATTCATTATTCTACCAATCACGCAAGGAGAAAATCAGAAAAATTAAAAATGCGAGAGAATTAGAGGAAGAGATGAAATTGAAAGAGAGAGAGAAAGTTGAGTTAGTGTGGAATTAGGTTAACGAACATTGGATAACAGTGTACGATATGATAATGGCAGTTGGATGTTCCCTACTTACAACGTTGTATGTGTGTGTGCAACATTGTATGTTCGATCGTTGTTTGTAGTGCACGCCAGGATACTGTGTGTACGTCGTCTACAAATAAATTATGATGACGATAGTGAGACGTACACATGGACTACACATACATGCATACGTATCCATCAATTTGTACTTGTGTGCATATATTATGCTAATGAAGCTGTACAGTCTTATTTTCTAGCGTTAAGAAATTTTTTCCGAGTGTCTAAAAAATATGAAATTGTATTTTAGTTTGTGTGTGTGTGTGTGTTTGTGTATGTTTGCATTGCAACAGCGGGAACTACATTAAAGTGAACATTCAAGGAGAGTCTAGGATGTTCAGCGCTACATAAACAGGTTGAAAAAGGTTTAATGGGTGAATTTATGCGAATTTTAAACTCATTTTATCTTCAATAAACAGTTAAACACACAATTAAGCATTATCGTTAACATTTTGCATGCTGTAACAGTTCATGCGTTTGTCTGACTGATTTATGAAGCATTAAAACAAAAATTATTTAAATATAAAAAAAATATATATATACATAAATATGCGTATGTATACATGTATATGTATATACCTGCGTATGTATTGTACGATGGCCCATGAAAAACACTCACATATGCAAATATTCACACAGCGGTCGATACTAACTAAGTATAACTTTTATGAGAATTTTTGTCATTTCTTTGGTATCCCTATATATACCTATCTAATCCGGAAAACTATATATACATATTGTAAATATATATATATATATATATATATATATATATATATATATATATATATATATATATATATATATATATGCATTTCCATATATATATATAGATACGATATATATATGTATTATACATAAATAATACATATATGTATATATATATATTTTTTATATAAGTATATATGTACAATACGTACATGAAAGCATACATGCAGAGGTGGTAGCAAGCAGCCAAGCAACAGCACATTATGACGTATTTCGTGACGTCACTGCTGTTTTATCGTACTGCATGCATGATGGTGATGATGAAGACGATGCTGGTAATGGTGATGACGGTGATGACGATGGTGATGGTGATGATGGCGACGAAGAAGTAATTGAACACTACTTTGAGGAGGGTATGGAAAAAATCATGGTGAGTTTTTTTTTATGCTCACGAAGACAGCGATTAAATGATGATAATGATGACGATGAAGATGATGACGACGACAGTGACGATGGTGAAGAAAATGATGATAGGCGCGTTAATGACATAAACAAAATAAAAAGAACATACCATTCCGGCTTGCGCACAAAAATACCCGCGTGTGCGTTGCGCTCGTGTCCGTGTTTGTTAACAAAAATTTTAGTTGTACACTCAAGTTTTGGGCCGTACGCATATTTTTTGGCGCACATATACTGCTTAAAATGTATAAATATAAAAAAGTGAATCCATCGGGTTGTCAATAACACACTACTGTTGGACCGCCACTAGCAGTCCAGAACTGCATCTCCGATGCCAACATGGAGACTGATTTTTTAAAGTACTGCCGACAATGCCAGTATAATGCCGGCACTTTTCTGTTTCTCAAACGTTGCTACACGAAAGCTGAACCGTATAAAACGAATATTTATGTGCCCGGTCGGATTTTGAGATCAGCAAGCCAGGAACAAAAGAAAAGCAAGCCTCTCCCTATTTTTCTCGCTAAAAAGAGTAAAATTTTTGACAGGTTTGTCATAAATACATTGCCAACAAATGATTTGTTTTTTCTAAATCGATTGCTTTTTTATAAGTTGAGGAAATTTGTTAATTAAACAGTTTTTTCATTTTCATAATGAACCAAAGAAGGAGTTAGTGAGATGAGAAGTTTTAAAGATGAAAGAAGCACAAGAGGACATAACTTCATTTCTACTTTTCACATTTAGAATTCTTGCCTTTAAAAACGCGCTCACCTTTGAAAACTACAATTATAATTATAATAATAAAAATATATGTACTTGAAGCCTAAAGGTTTTAGAATGTGGTATTGAGTACCGATTTGTTCTGCTAAAATGAGTCGGCGGTGTCGAGTTCGATACTCGGCATCATTTTAAAGAATCGTGCAAATTTCCAAGTGCAAGTCACGGAGAAATGTGGAATAAGCAAGAGAGGTCGTTAACTTTCTCTTTAAAAAATCTTACCCCCCCAAAAAAATTTCTCGCAGTGACAAGTCATCATCATCATCATTTTCGTCGTCTTCCTCCTCTTCCTCCTCATCATCATATTGCAATCATCATCGTCGTCGTCATCATCATATTGTCATCGTCATCATTAGAGCAATTATTTCGACGGCTTATCAATGAATCGTTCGATACCTTCTTGGCCGTGACGAAGATGACGATGACGAAGATGATGACGAGGAAGACGACGATGATGATGACGATGATGATAGCCATTATAATAATTGTTCCATGTCTTGCCGCATGATCGTGTAAATAGAGTAACCGAAAATAAACATTCTCGAATACGTACAGGTTCATACGCACATCAGTACTTACCTACATACACGCATACGTGCATACATACGTACACACACAGACATGCGTAAACACACCTGCATAGATACATACATACATTCATATGTACCCATGTTTGTACAACAACAGTTGTACACAACATATGTACAACATGACACCGTACACATCATGTACACGCATGTACACATGACACATCATGTACACGCAAGCATAAAACATATGTGTATACATATAAACATGTATACACATTCATCCGAATGAAAGCATGCATACAACATCATACAAATTCATTCATGTTTGCATGTAAGCATGCAAAAAAGCGTGCATATGTGTTTTGTATGTTCTCTCTCTCTCTCTCTCTCTCTCTCTCCGTCTCTCTCCCTATGCATTTATATAATTTTCAAAACAACGACATGGGAAAAAGCGCTAACAAAGTTATTATAGATGATGGAATAAAAATAAATAGTTACATGGAGAGACATTGAGGAATAAACGAACGAAGAAAGAGAGAAAAGCACGAATAGTGAGGGTATGTTGGAGAAAGAGAGAGATTGAACGAGTGGGAGCGATTTGTGGTGAGATGGTGAAAAGTTGGGAGAACGTTCGTGTTCTGGTTGGTAATTGTTTGTGCCAAGTTGTAAAGAATATCTACCGAATGTTAATGTTACTCGTTTATTCGTTCACTCATTCATTCATTCACACATTTATTCATTCACTCATTCATTCATTCGTTTATTCATTCATTCATTCGTCCATTCATTCATTCATTAAATGTTTAAACATTATATGTACACAAGAGCAACTTCAATTGGAAATATTGATTAGAATTAATTAAGTTTAGAAGACTTGTTGTTGTTAAACTTGACGTTATCAATAATAGATACAACAGGACTTATTATTAAAAATAATTAGAAGTTAATAATTGATGCCTCAATTAATGTTGCCAACAATCACCTAATCACACAGGTCAGTGCATCATCTGCCAACTTGAATGCAACAAAAACAACAACATCAACATCAACGACAACATCAACAACATCCATTATTACAGCAAATAAGAACCTTATTACTTTGCAAAAGTAATTAAGTAGTATTATTAGTAACTGTAGTAGTAGTTGTCGTAGTAGTAGTGGTAGTAGTAGTTGTAGTAGTAGTGGTCGTTGTAGTATTAGTGGTGGTGGTGGTGCTGGTGGTTGTCGTTGCCTTGGCGACGTAAATGACGTAATAAAATTTTTGCTGTTGTTGATTTTGGTGAATAAAATTTTCTGGATTTAAAATCAATTCGGATGACTATAAACCGTAAAATAAATCAATAATCGCAGCTGCATCAGCAGTAACTGTAGTAGCAGCAACAACCACAACTGCAACAACGACATTAAAACATCCGAAACAACTTTTCAACATTTGTATAAACTGCTGAGCTTAATAACAAACTGATGCTAAGGAAATGATATGATGATAACAACGACTACAACCATGATGGTGATGACTTGTAGAACAACAACAGAACGAACAACAACAACATCAACAGCATCAACAACATCAACAGCATCAACAACATCAACAACATCAAGTTTTTAATTTCACTGGCCCATATTGAAATGCTTCCTCCTTAACCATCATCATTACGTCACCATCATTACAATTACAACAACAAAAACATCATAACCACATCATCCTCAGCATCAACAGAGTATCATCATTATTACTTGCAATATTAAAAACTCAATCAGTTAAACCTCACCGTGATAATTCAACCAATAATACTTATTTGTAGGTTGAGAACATTTACTGGCGGCTGTAGAATTAGTTATTATTATTATTAATAATAATAATAATAATAATATTATTATTATTATTATTATTAGTAGTAGTAGTAGTAGTAGTAGTAGTAGTAGTGGTAGTGGTAGTGGTAGCTGCTATCATATTAACATCGATAGGAAAATTTTTTAGTAGTTTTTGTTGTTGTTGTTATATCATTATTCATTATTATTAGTAGTAGTAGCAGCTGCAGTAGTAGAAGTTGTAGCAATAATAGAGTTAATAGTTGTAGTAGTAGCAGTAGAAGTAGCAGCAACAGCAGCAGTAGTAGTGGCGGCATGAAACTAATTTGAAGGGACTGTCGACATCAGGCCGATGAGTGTAGAGAATAGAGAATATTCATTTCTACTACTGCATTTCTTTCAGAAGTTCTTTCAACTTGCATTCATTTGTCGACGAGGAAGAGTGAAAAAGGTTTTCATCGTCGTCGTCATCGTCACCATCTTCCTCCTCCTCCTCCTCCTCCTCATCATCATCATCACCGCCAACATCGTCATCATCATCGTTGTCAGCAATTCTATCGTCTGCAACTTTGCTGGGAAAAAATCAACAAATAAAAAAGTTATTAGCATCGTTAAGTCAACAACTTCACCATCGTCATCATCATCATCGTCACCTTCATCATCGTCACCTTCATCACCATCGTCAACAATTTAATTTTAAATTCTAACAATTGAACGATGGATGAAAAAAAAACAAAATCGGTAAGATGATGATGATGGTGGTAATGATGATGATGATAGTGGTGATGATAGTGTTGGTGATAGTGGTGATGATGATGATAATGATGGTAATGATGATGATAATACGTCACCAGAATTGAATAACGATTTATTAAGTTTATTATGAAAACGTATTTCACAATTAAATTTTATAACGCACACACGCTTTACAATTGCTACTACTGCTACTACTACTGCTACTACTACTGCTACTACTACTGCTACTACTACTGCTACTACTACTGCTACTACTACTGCTACTACTACTGCTACTACTACTGCTACTACTACTGCTACTACTACTGCTACTACTACTGCTACTACTACTGCTACTACTACTGCTACTACTACTGCTACTACTACTGCTACTACTACTGCTACTACTACTGCTACTACTACTGCTACTACTACTGCTACTACTACTGCTACTACTACTGCTACTACTACTGCTACTACTACTGCTACTACTACTGCTACTACTACTGCTACTACTACTGCTACTACTACTGCTACTACTACTACTACTACTACTATTACTACTACAGCTATTAATAATAGAAATAATAATAACAATTACACTAACGACAATATAACGGTTATAAAAACAAAGATAAAAGATAGAATGCCATTCTTCTTATTAGTTCTATGCTGTTATCATTTCTATGGTCGCACTCGACATAGACTTGAAAATATTCCATTATCGTCGTGGTCACGTGACGAGAATAAAAATTGTCATATCTATGCTGTTATGATTTGTTCTTATTTTGTGTTTTTCTGTCTAGAAGAAAAATTTATTTTTTTATCTTTGTATCTCTTTGGTGATGTTTGGTGTTAACGACGTTTCTATTTAACGAAATCATCATCATCGTCGTCATCATCATCATCCTCATCATCATCATCCTCATCATCATCATCATCGTTGTTGTTGTTATATTACGTTGAAACGACTGGTTAACGACATGTTAATACAGCAAGCAGACAATATTGACGACATGATGGTGATGAGAATGATGGTTGTGATGACGATGAAGCAGATGATGATGGTGATAGCTACGGAGATGGTGATGATGATGATGGTTAAGAAAAGATTGACGAAAAAAGTTCCAATCAAGAAAATTATTTTGCTGATAATAATGCCTAATTTTGAAATTGCTATGATGATGACGACGGTGATGATGGTGATGATGATGATGGTGATGATGATGACAATGGTGATGATGATGATGACGTTGCCAGAAATCTCAAAAATTAAAAATTGAAGGAAAAGAAGTTACTTAATTGGCGACGCGGTGAATTAAATTGCTGCGCTAGTTATGATGACGATTAAGATTGCTTGGCGGTGGTGATGATGATGATTTCGAAGATGATGATACTGATGATGATGATGATTGTAATGATGATGATGATGATTGTAATGATGATGATGATGATTGTAATGATGATGATGATGATGATAGCGATGTACATACAAACTCACGAACTTTTCGTAATCGAACACATGCATGCTGGTGTATTCTTTGGGGAAACCATAACATGAAACGTCATCATCATCATCACAACGTCATCATCATCATTTTTCCAGAGCAAAACCATTCTGAAGACGTGGTCTGATTTAATTGATCAGTCAAAACAAAGCCATATAGCACGAGCGGCAGCACATTCTCGTGTTGTTTTCCCCATACTTCCGCCAGTTTAATCAGTATTATTGTTGTTATTTATAGGAGAAAAAACGAAGGAAGAAAGAGTGAGAGAGAGAGAGAGAGAAAAAAAAAGAAAAAGAGAGGGAGGGAGAGAGAGAGAAAGTTGACGGAGAAGTTCTTCAAGCCTTCAGAAGATGCTGATTTGCAGAAGGATGGATTGCAGGCACGCACACAATTAGGATAAAATCAGCTCCCTCTCATTTCTTCTGCTATTACAATTTTTTGTCACATTTAAAATTTGTTTTTTTTTAGAAACATACTGTCAAGTAAGTGAAAAACAATCGTACGTGCGTGCGTGCGTGCGTGCGTGGCGAAACGAGACGAAACGAAAGGAAATGTTGCTTAGCAATACGAATGTCATGGAAAACAAATGTTACAGGGCTGAACTTAGTAAAATTTTTAAAATATATCGAGATTATCCAGTAAAGAGAGAAAGAGAGAGAGAGAGAGAGGGAGAGAGAAAGATAAAAAATGAGTACATGTGTGAGGATAGATGGAAAGTAAGTGTTGTACTATGAATGGTCGAATGAATGAATGAATGAATGAATTACTTAATTAATTGTTTAATTAATTGTTTAATTTTTTAATAATGAAATAACGAGCAAACGCATAGAGGCTTTCATCATAATACATACTTAACAACAACAACAATAAACAACACAAAAAACAAACATCGCAACAGATAAATAAACCATGAAACCAAAACAACTTAATGACAGGATTTTGTTCATATAATTTTTTCTTGACAGATATAAAACAACAGGGAAATAAAAATTGTGTATTAATACTTCTGTTTTACGATCTGTCTGTTTGTATATTCGTTTGTTTGTTTGTATGTGTATTTGAATGTATGTTTGTTTGTTTGAATGTACGCAGGCAGATGTGATTGCATGGTAGTGTGTTTGTATGAAACGAAAATGAAATAAAGAAATGTTCGATCCCCTATCAGGTGGTCATGGCGAGTTACGAGTCTGCAGCGATCGGCGAAGCGATGGGACTCATTACCGACATGTTGGTCGATCCGAATCTGCCGCAGCACATCGCTAACGGCCTAAAAACCATCAAAAATCTTCTCAAAAAGTCACCGGAGATCCAGATGAAGAAGATGAGCGAAAGTTCGAGCGGGGGTACTGCCGTCGTTGCGGGGGAAGGAAGGAGCGAGGAGGAAGATGATGAAATTCCTTTCACCGGCGAGAAAGTTTCCATCATGCCGAACGTTCGTTCATTCGTTCGTTTGTTCGTTCGTTTGTTTGCTCGTTCGTTCGTTCGTTTAATTTTTGATGTTCTCGTTTATTTTTGATGCGTTCATTTCTTGTTTATCTGATTCGTTAATTGAATGTGACGTTTAAAATTGTTGAATGAGGTCGCTCGGGTTTCTTCTGCAGGTGCGTCACAGTCTGCCGATGGGTCTGCTGCGGCGGCTGTCAACGAGTGCGTGGACGACGACCACCTCGGCCACCGGCATGCCCACCATGCTGCCCGATGTCATCAGGATGCGCAACTATTCTAGCAACACCTTCAAACAGCAGCTGTCGGCCAACCACAACAACCACAACAACACTTCAACGCGGCTCAGTGTTGCTAAGCAGGGGATCGACGAGGAAAGTGATCAAGAAGTCGAGAAGACCGAACAAGACAACAGCAACGACAACAACAACAACAACAACATCGTTGAGAAGGGCAGCCCCTCATTGTCGCCGTTATTTTTCAAGCCTCGGTCAATGAGCGTCTTCGCCATGCCGAGCTCCACGCGATCCTTCCTCACGACCTACAACAAAAAACAAGATGGCGTCGGAAACAAAGATGGCGAAATTAAAAAAGATGGCGGCAAAAAAAGAGACGGCGGTAAAAGTAAAGATGGCGGCAAGGATCAAAAACGGCCTAAAAGTTCTGCAGGATCGAAGACGACAGCCGCTACAATCGTAGAAGAGGACCAGCAGCAGAACATGAACGATGAGGAAGAGCACAGGAGTGTGGTTGAAGTCATTGTTGACGATGTTGACGGTGAATCTTCACAACAACCAACAACAAAATCACTACTCGTCACTATTTGTCCGCCAAACAGCCAAACAACGACAGCAACAACAACCAGGAATGAGGTTTCTTCTGTTTTCTAACATGTTCATTCATTCCACAAACTTACAAACATGCAAAAACACATAAAAACAAACGAACGAACAAACGAAAAAACAAACAAACAAACATAAATTAATAAGGCGGCCCATCAACGAACATTCATCTATGAAGAAAATATATCATTTTATAACTTATAAATTATCCATCATCTTCTATTCTCTACATTTTTTCCCAGACTATGTTAATCAATCTATATGTAAACATAAAAATAGGTATGTATGTAAGTATGTATGTATGTGTGTAATTATGTATGTATTATGCATATGTATTTTATTGTATATGCAGCATATCTACTGAAGATGATTAATACCTAATATATGTTTCTTATGGTTTATAAGAATTTTTCAATTCTTTATGTTGCCTCAGTTAGTTAATTGTACTTTGATGATTTGATGCATATTTTTCTGTCAATGTGTATCTTTCTGTATGTTTGTGTTGATGTTTGTTTGCGTAATATTATGTATGCTTGTATTAATGTTTGTTTGATTGAGCCAATGTACATTTATGTTTATTGGTTTCCCTTATGAATTTTAAACGGGAGTTTCAATGCGTTTGAACTGTTAAAAAACTTCCATGATTTCACATCAAACTGCTCATTCCGCCGGCTCCTATGATCTGTTTGTACGTATGTTTGTTTGTATGTTTGTTTGTATGTTTGTTTGTATGTTTGTTTATTTATACATTGTATATATGTTAGTATGTTTGTTTTATTAACTACCCATGAGTTTGTACATTTCCTAGATATTGATACATTCGTATGCATGCAGGCAAAAGTTGCAGTGCCTCCTCCTTCTCCTGCTGCTGTTTGCCAGTCTGCAGGTCATTAATTAAAGAGAATCGTTCGTTCGTTCGTTTGTTTGTTTTCTTTTTCTTCAATGGGTCTCTCTGAGTTTTGAACGTTCTATAAATAGCCAGCCTTCTCCGATGGAAGTCTGCACGCCAAACAGACAACCAGCATGTGCTTAGGAACTGAAAGAAGCATGTTTGCTTATAAATTCGGAAAATATTGTACCCTTCGTACGGGTTGCATATGATGTTCACCAACTGATGTCAAAATAGATACCAAGTTGATACACAGACAGACTGATACATAAACACAGTCAGACTGATACATGCACACAGACAGACTGATACATGCACACAGACAAACACGTGCACATACAGACAGGTACATTGACGGACAGACGTTCTGATAGATTGATTGAAAAAATGCAACATTAAAAATGAGATTTATTTTTTTTCATTTCCACATTTTTGTCATTACTTTTCATCTCTGCAAGAGTTCCTCAGGGCAGCATCATTCAAAATGGGTTCCTCTTCATGTACGTGTTTGATTGTATGTATGTTTGTATGCCTGGTTGTCTGTCTGCTGTTTGTAGTCTTCTTATGTATGCATGCATGAACTTATATATGTATGAAAGTATATATATATGTGTGTATGTATTTTTGTTTGTTTGTTTGTATGTATGTATGTATGTATGTATGTTTGTTTGTATGTATGCATGTATGTAATGTGTATTTTGGGTTTAGACTATCATAAATACTTTTCTCGTCAGAAAAATTGAAAAACTCAATTACAAGTTGAATAATGCCAAAAACGCAGTGATCTTTATGAATAATTGTATATGTGTATGTATGCGATGGTGCATGCATGTATATATGTACATATGTATGTATGAACGAATTTATGCAAGACCCTTTGTTGATAAACTAGCCATTGGTGAGGTTATAATCATTGTCAGGTTCTGCTGGGCTCTATGTTATTGGGTCACGCACAGAAAGGCCACTTAAGGCCCCATCAAGTATGCAGATGGAATTAAATTTTTGAAGCAGAACCTATATACATTTTTTGATGTAGTTTTTGTCTAAAAGGTTTCCTGATATTAAGATAATTCTATTAACAAGTTTTTTTAAAAACAGATGGGTCTTGTTGTCGGAACCACTGCGGGGACAAAGGTCAAACTTTTGTAAAATTAACCTTTCATGGCCCGGAGAGGTCCTGCGAAAATAAATGAGACGAGGCAGGTAGGCAGCTTGAAGCGTGAGGGTTAGTGTTTGGAATCACGACGCAAAATGAATTCAGTACCATCCACGCATGCTTCCACAACTTTAGCTTTGAGAAATTCTATTAAAGAGTTGATTGCTAGAAAAAAGCAGCCGCATATGTATGTATGTATGTATGTATGTATGTATGTATGTATGTATGTATGTATGTATGTATGTATGCATGTATGTATGTATGTATGTATGTATGTATGTATGTATGTATGTATGTATGTATGTATGTATGTATGTTTGTATGAGTGTATGTATGTTTGAACATATATATGTTGTATGTTCTCCGAATGTTTTTTGTTACCTCAAAGTTGTATATTAGTATGTAGATTGAAAAAGGAGTCGAGTTTCTATGCATTCATTTATACGTGTATTCAATATCACGTGTAGTGCTCCATGCTTGCATTTACAAACTATAAGCAGGCATTCATTCATTCCAACACAATTACATACAAGCATACAATCACACAAACATACAACCACACAACCATACAATCACACAAACATACAACCACAACCATACGTACAACCACAACCATACATACAACCACAACCACACATATATAAAACCATACATACAGTCACACATACATATAACCATAAATACAACCACAAGCATACATACAAACACACGTACACAAACATCAGTAAATTTAAAAAAAAATTTTCTTCTCATTTGATTAAAAGAAAAAGCTGTTGAAGCCGCACCATTCCATCTTGCAGCAATAACATTAAGATTGATGTGTTGTTACTTTCAATGCAGCTGGCATCGGCTGATGTGACGTCTGCCACAGCAGCAGTAGCAACAGCAGATAACATCAACAACAACAACAAAATTTACGATGATGATGACGTAATCGCGACCGTCGACCAATCAGCGTACGACTTGTCTGATGATGACGTGTGTGCAATCATTGACGAATCAACATCCTGCCCGCTGACTCAGCTGAGTCTCATCAACATCTGGGACTATCCCATCTTTCAACTCTCCGATATGTTTCAGGATACAATACTCACGATGGTGGATGTTTTTGGGGGCTGCCTGTGTGGTGGTGTGATTTGATGATGGTGGTGTGATGGGATTTGATGGTGGTGGTGGTGACTTGATGATGAATAGGATGTAAGATTAAATAAAATGTACCAAATGAAACGTTAACTTGCGAATCTTACAAAGTCAAATCGAATTTAAAATGAAATTTCGATCGACAAACGAAGAACTTGCATCTATTGAACATACAACTAATTTCAACAACCATCTATTGAACATGCAAATAATCTCACCATTCACCAACTTTTTGTTTTTTATCAGATGGCCTACAAAGTTTTCGACGCAACTGGTCTCTTTGATACCTTCAAAATCCCCATCAAAGAGTTCATGAACTTTTTTCACGCACTCGAATGTGGATACCAAGATAAAACATGTGCGTATGCGGGCGTATGTGCTCGAACAGTTGCATAAAGGAATGAATGAATGAATGAATGAATGAATGAATGAATGAATGTATAAATGAATGAATGAACGAATAAATGACCAACAGACCACAACAGAATTCACGCATCGGATGTCCTTCATGGAGTCTACTACATGCTCACTCAAATGGTTCCAGGTTTGAAGAGTGCCGACAACAACAACAACATCATCAACAACATCAACAGCAACAACAACATCAACAACAACCACAACAACAACATCAACAACCACAACAACATCAACATCAACAACCACAACAACATCAACGCTGATGTTACAAATGAAGAGAGCAACAAGGAAGCTGCAGAAGGTTCGGAAGTTTAATGATGGTCCATATTTTATTATCTTTTCTTTAGTTCATTCATTTCTTCGGTCGTCTAACCCAAAGAACAAACTCTTTGCTCTGTCATTTTTAATTTTTATTTTCATACGTTTTCATTCATTCAAGCATTTCATCGCATTTTTTTGTTTCCATCCCATCCAACTGATGTCGATTTAAGGAGTTGTTCTGGTTGATGGTGGTTAATTTATCAACAATTCATCCATTTTTTCATCCATGCATTCATTCATTCATTTACTAATTCATTCATCCATGCGCTCATCCATTTATTTACCTATACATTCATTCATCCATTCCTGTATTTATTTCCCCATAAACAGCCAGACAGACAAACACGCGCGCACAGACACAGACAGACAGACTGACAGACAGACAGACAGACGATAGGCACGATGTACGTAAGATCCTAACCATTGTATATTTGCATGCCTTCTCAATGCATCTCCATTATTATTCATGATCCGCACCTGTCATTAATATTAATGAGTTGCTCACGTGGCTGATTAATATTCATGAAATGTAGGTAGCAACATGCCTTCGTCGTCGCCATCTTAATCACTATCATCATCATCATCATCATGGCCATCATTATCTTTCCTATTGATCACAGCGACAGCAGCTGCAGCGGCCAGCGACGAAACGCCTCTGCACGTGGGCATCATTGGAAGCCACTTCACACCACTTGAACTGCTCTCCCTACTGACGGCAGCCTCCATGCACGACTTCGACCACCCCGGTCGAACCAACGCCTTTCTCGTGGCCACTCAACATCCTCTGGTCAGCTTTTGTTTTGCAGTCCTCTCTTAAGCGCGCGTGCGTGTTGGCCGGCATTTCTTCGCATGATGCATTTGGATGCAGCCGATGTAACGGCGGTGCCGAGCAACTCGATCGTTACGATAATACGCTGCCGATTTGTTAATTATTGATTATTTAACATAATTATTCATTTGGGGTGTATGGTTTAATATTGAATTGCAGGCAGTGCTGTATAACGATAGGTCCGTTCTTGAAAATCATCACGCCGCTTCCGCCTGGAACCTCTTCCGGTCCGATCGGAAGTACGATTGGACGTGCCACTTGGACTCGGCGGAAATGAAAAGATTTCGCTTCCTGGTCATCGAAGCCATCCTCGCTACGGACCTCAAATATCATTTCGAGATTGTCGCGGAGTTCAATGCTAAGGTCCACCTAATTGTTTTCTTTCTACGCTTATTTCATGCTTCTATTTCTTCAGTCATGTTTTCTTTCTTTTATTTATTATTTGTTTATTTATTTTTTCATCTTTAATTTATTAATTCATTCATTCAACTAATTATTTCCTTCAATCATTCATTCCTGTATCCAGGTGAACGAGTCTTCCGGTTTGAACTGGACGTTGGAAGGTGACAGGCTGTTGGTCGGGAACATGATGATGAAGATGGCCGACATCAACGGGCCGTGCAAGTCCCTCGAGCTGCACCTCCAGTGGACAGACAGGATCCATCAAGAGTTTTTCGAACAGGTGGTCACTATGATGACGTCAGCATCACCATCATCACTTTTATAATAATGATGATCATCATCACACCAGGGCGACGAAGAGAAGAGCATGGGACTGCCCATCTCACCCTACATGGACAGGAACCACCCACAACTCGCCAAACTACAAGATTCCTTCATCAACCACCTCGTCTCGCCGCTCTGTTACGCGCTATATAATGCTCATCTACTTCCGGGTTTCTGGAAGGTTAAAAAAGAAATGAAGAAAAGGGAGAGTGAGAATGAGGAAGAGGCGGAGGAGGAGAGCAAGAATGTGGGTGAGGGCAAAGTTCAGGAGGAAGCCGACAAAAGTTTGTTGTCCTTCAATTTCCACTTTCTTGCGAGATAAATTTTGAATGACATCATAAAAACAACAGAAAAATATTAAACACTGTAGTTAATAATAATATCATTTATAATAAAAAGCTGACACACAACCAACTAAACAACCAAACAAACAGCCGTGCCAGCGACACCCAGCGTGTGGTCACCTCTGACGCATAACCTCCAAAAAAACCACAGCATGTGGATACACGCTCTTAAAACTGACACACTGCCCATGGCCGTTATGATGTCATCATCTACGTCATCTCTGCTGCCACCGTCGGCCTCGCTACTATCGTCGCCATCGTCCTCATCGTCTACTTCAACCACAACGGCTGCCAGAACTACAGTTTCTGTAAAAGCTGTGAGTTAAGTTGCCCTGTGGTGTGGTGTGTTGTGGTGTTGTGTGGTGTGTCGTGTGGTATGTACTGCTTCGGTGAAATGTTTCAATTTTGATGATGGTGATGACAGAAATGATGAAATGATGGTATTGAGAGTATCTAAAATTATTAAATGTATTTATTTCTCAAATTGGAAGGATTTTCCAAGTGTCAATAACAGCAAGAACGTCTCACAGTTACAAAAGCAAAAGCGAAACACGCCCGAAAGGCAAGACAATTCAACTTCAGACAATCAGCAGCAGCAGCAACAAACGCAGCTACATCAGCGAAAGTCTCAAAAACAATCAGACGTTTTAAAATGTGTACCACAACAACACCAAGCCCAACAACAAATAACTGCTTCAGACCACCATCAACAGAATCAACAACATCAACAAAATTTGCCTCCCCAACAACACAACAAAACAACTCACCAAAAACAACACGCAGCAGCACCAACAACAAAACATCAACAACAAAGCAACACCACGTCTTTATTTTCTAGCTGCTGTGTCGGCAAAAGCAAATGATCTACTAGATATATTTATAATAAATAAATAAATTAATTAATTAATTAAACTACCGATATATTTTTTATTGCCGTTATATTTTATACAAATGTAATATTATCGAATTCTATTTAAGTTGTTTTAAATATTCGTTCAAGGCACGTCGGTACATAGAATCGGATCTCACATTCAATCGGTTGATCGGTTGATCGATCGATTAGTCGTTACTCAATATCATCGTACCAACCTTACGAAGTTCGTCATCGTATTCGTGAATATTTTGTAATCATATACATTTGTCATACATTTGTATAGAAATATATATATATATATATATATATATATATATATATATGATGATAATTATTTATATGTACAAATTTTGCCAATTTGAACCTAATGCGTTCTTTCATTTACTCGTTCCTTTCAAAACCTTTCGAAGATTTTCTTGAAATTATCCAGTTGTACCTCTTCGTTTTTTTTGTTTGGTCCTTTTTTCATCATCATCATCATCATCATTACCATCATCATCGTCGTCCTCATCATCATTACACACACGCACACAAACACACACGCACACAAACACACACGCACATTCATCGTCTGTTTGGTTAGGAAAATGGTTATAAAGATGATGATGATTATGTAGACGAAAATATTGATTATTTATGGTGATATATGATGGTGATGACGTCATCTATGATAATGATGATGATTCTTTTGATTTTTAAAGTTTGATTAATGATTGTAGGATGGAGACGTATGCGAATTAAAATGCCGAAGTTGAAAGCCAGTGGATGCTTCCACTGCAATTCTCCATATTCTATTCTATTCTATTTTATTGCTTACCGGTGTTATTATTGTGCGTGTTGTTGTTGTTGTTGTGATCATTTAGTAACCATGGAAACGATGTTGTTGTTGTTGCTGCTGCTGTTGCAGCACTAAAGAAAATGGCAGAGTCCCGTCTCCTTTGTTTCAACCTTCTATATTTCATCGTTTGAGTCTCCTTCTAAACCAATTTTTTCAAATTTCTACATCAATGAATTTTTATTTTCGTCCGTGTCTGTTAACTTGTTAGTGTTTCGTAACCAAATGTAGAACGTCCCAGCAACATAATAATAATAATAATAATAATAATAATAATAATAATAATAATAATAATAATAATTGGAAGAGGAAATGACGTCACTTGATTTATGACGCGTATAAACACACACACACACACACACACACGAATACACGCACACATTATAAATACGCACGGAACACAAGCCGACCTAGGAGAGAGCTCTGTTCATAGTATGTTTAACATCCAGCATCGAACTTTTGGATATCTTGAAAGATGGGTTGGTGGGAAGCAATGTACATGTTGCTCTCTTTCAATGAGTGAATTAATATTAATAATGATAATAATAATAGAGTTATAGTTATTAGGTATCTATTATATTATATTTATATATTATATACATGTATATATATATATGTATATATATATATAAGTGTGTGTGTGTATTGGGTATACACGTGTGCAACAAATGTAAAAAAATACCTCAAAAACATTCAATACAAATAATACACACACAAATACGAATACAAATTATAATACAAACCTACAATTAGAAGTAGGGACATGTACAAGCATTTGCATACAATAGTTGATACATACAGACGTAGTTGAAAACCAGCAAACATGCATACGAACGAGTACACTTAGTGATGCTACTTTGCATGGTTTTACATTGTGGTGTGATTATAATATATTGATTTTTTCGTCACAACTTATGTTTTAATTCTTATCATAAATTTGTATTAGTATTTTTTCATTACATTTTTTCAAATTTTGTGCTGTTTGCGATGATGTCTGTAATATTTTTTAATATTAAATTATGAATTCTTCGGTTGGGCATGATTGCTTGATGGAATAATAAAAAGAATTGTACATTAAAACTTTAAACAATCTACGTATGTGTGTTCAAGTATTTTCAATTAAAAAAATTCTCTCTCTCTCTCTCTTTCTCTCTCTCTTTCTTTTTTCTTTCTCTGCATTTATCAATCTCTCAAGCGTAATAGACTTGCTTTCGAAGCTAGGAGTCACGATGCAACAACACACAAGATGTCCCAACGACTTGAACCGTAAAAGTCAAACTCGTTAAACAAAACTAAAAATCGATGACCCATTAGCATAATTAATTAGCATAAATTAACGAGTTTAAAAATGGTTATGGGAGAGATGAGAATGAGGTGAGCGCACGTGAACTGGTTCAATTATTAATGAAATTTTGAAAAATAGTTTACGAACGCCTGTTCAATTAATTTCTTATTGAACAACAACAGCACCATCATCATCGCCAACATTTTACCCAATCTAAATTAAACGACAATTAACACACGGTAGATTTATAGTGTTTATGTTGAAATCCTAAACAGACAACTGTTTATAAATGTGTGTTTGTCTGTATGTTTGTCTGTGTTTGTGTGTGTACTTTTGTATACAGATATATATGATGAATGAAGTGTGTGTATATATATATATGTGTGTGTATGTATATATTTATGTATGTATGTATGTATGTATGTATGTATGTATGTATGTATGTATGTATGTATGTATGTATGTATGTATGTATGTATGTATGTATGTATGTATGTATGTATGTATGTATGAATGTATGTATGTATGTATGTATGTATGTATGTATTAATATGTATGTATGTATGTATGACTTTTCCTTTCCACATCAACCAAGATGGTTGTTCATCTTGAATTTCATCTTAAGATTAAGAAACCAGGTGATTTTGTTGTTGTTGTTATTATTAACATTGTTAATAATATTATTCTTTTATTATTTATCATTTATTATTATTATTTATTATTATTATTAATAACATTATCAAAACATTATTGTGGCAATTTTATTAATATTTTATGACCGAAATGTTTATCAACGTCATATATGCATTTGTGTGTCTGTCTGTATGTATGTATGTATGTATGTATGTATGTATGTATGTATGTATGTATGTATGTATGTATGTATGTATGTATGTATGTATGTATGTATGTATGTATGTATGTATGTATGTATGTATGTATGTATGTATGTATGTATGTATGTATGTATGTATGTATGTATGTATGTATGTATGTATGTATGTATGTATGTATGTATGTATGTATGTATGTATGTATGTATGTATGTATGTATGTATGTATGTATGTATGTATGTGTGCATGTATCCATTCCTTGATACATATGCAGGCACGCCTGTATATATTAATGGCTCCGAAATGATGAATTTGCTATGTAAACAGAGGTTGGATCCGACCGATGCAAGAAAGCAAGAAGCGATTTTAATGAAATTTTAACAATAAAAACAACAAAAACAACATCAACAACAACAGTGAACAACAAAAATTCATTCAAACACTTGAACCTGAATAAACGTTAATACTATGAAATTTATTTTGTTGAAATATCTGAAGAACTATATTGATAAGTGCTTAGTACAACTAATACCGCTAAAACTACAGACACTAATCTGAGAACTCAGTAGCAATGTTCCAAAGAAATATTCGACCGAATTCTCGATAATTGAATCGGATAATCAATAGTGTTGAAAAAGTTTCTTGAAGAAAAAGATGAGGATTATGATGTTGGTGGTGTTCCTGATAATGATTGCATCTCTTTCTACCGGAAATGGTTCGTTACATTCACGTTAACGCTTTAGCCAAATATTTCAAAAAGTTATGTTCAATATTCACATACACACTGGATATTTATTCATTCAATTATCCATCTATCCACCCATCCATCCATCAATCAATCAATCCTTTGTTGATTCATTCATTCATTCACCCTCTTGTTCATTCATTTATTCGTTCATTCATTCACTTATTCATTCATTTCTCATCTTATCCACAAATCCAGTTTGATATAAACCTCCTGTTACCATTTAGTTCCAAGTTCATTTGTCTAACTAAGCAAGTTGTTTGTGTTTTCGGGTTTCTCTGTGTGTCTCTGTGTGTATATGTGTGTGTATGTGTGTGCGTGAGTGTGTATGTGTTTGTATGTGTGCGTGTGTTTGTGTTTGCCTGTGTTTTAATAGGAAAGGTTCTCCTGTTGCAAATGCGTCAA